GCATAGATTTCCATCTTTTCCTATATTCTCTCTCTTGATTTATTTCTACCCACCATCCCACTGCTTTTAGAATAGTATTTTTTTAATATTAAATACAATGGTATAATAACCATAAGAAAACTAAGCAACTTAACATATTTGCTTTATATATAAACCTATAGAGGGAAGAAATTGAATTGCAAACATACTTTTTTTAAAGGTAATACATGCAAATACATCTAGTTATAGAAGGGTACCGGTGAAAACAAAGTTGCCCTCCCTGCCTCTTCCGTCTCTCAGACATGCAGTGTCCTATCCCAGAGAGGAGCTGCTGTGACCACCTTTCTCGTATGTCCTTCTGGAGATGTACACACACTTGTATGTGCAAAGAATACTTAGGAGCACCTGCTCTTTTAAATGCGTAGATACACATACACACATGTGCAAGTATGTGTACATGCGTGCATTCCTCTTGTACATTAATTCTGTGTGTCACATAGCTGAAAGCACAGTATGGTAGACACCCTCTGCTCTTGTCACTTGTGTAATTTGGAGATCTTCCCCATCGGAACATAGAAAGCTGCCTGGTTCTTTTTTGCAGGCTGCGTAGGCTTCCATCGTGTGGATGTTTAACCAGCTGCTCATGGTGGCATCTAGGTTGTTTCTAATCCTTCTGATAGACAGGGCTGCACTGAATAGCCCTAAGATATGCCATTTCTCCCGTGCACAAGTATAGACCTGGAGGATACATTCCTAGAAGTGGATTGCTTGGTCAGTGGGTGTGTGTGTGAAAGTTTGGTAGACATGGCCAAATTGCTCTCCAAGGACCCACGTGACAGGGCTTGTTTTTCCACCCTCTTTTCAACCCAGTGTGCCATCAAATTCTTTACTCTTTCCTGATATTCTGCCATGATAGGATAAAAATTTGTCCCACACTGAAGAACTGTGCTTGTTTTTTTAATGAACTTGAGTATCTTTTCCCATATTTAAGAGCCACTTGAATTTCCCTTTGTATGAACTGTCTATTTGTTTGTTACCCATTTCTCTTTTTATTTGTTTTTTTCTTTTTGATGTTAAACTTTTGATCTCTTTACTCTACTGGTTTGCTACAGTTTCTACCAACTAATGCAGCTCTTTGGTTTTTGATGTGTCTGTAAACAAGAATTCAGAACCAGCAATGAGAGGATGAGAGGCCAGGCCAAGCTTACTTCCTTTTCCAGAAGGCGATGATCAAAGGACTTGGTGTCCATGGAAACACTTGGAACATCACGTAACAATATTTACACGTACTGAGTATACAGTTACCAGATTTGGGGATGATTTGGAGCCACAGCTGGCTGATGTTAAATGCATCTCTGGACACGTGCGTTGATGGTTTTGCTAGGCACCACCCTTGTTAGTTGATATGTTTCTAGCTTTTAACCAAAGGGCCATGTGGTGAAGGTGCCTTTTTTGCTGGTAAATATATCATTTTTTCTCTTTTCTTAGTCAATATTTCCATTTTAGAAAATGGAGCAAGATTCCTGCTTTTTCTATAAATTAGCCTTGTGGTCCAAGTGTCTAGTAAAGTTCTCTGTTCCAAGTGGGTACTTAGCAAATGGTGAAAAAGACTAGTATCTCCAAGTGCTGTTTTGCTGCCCTTCCTAAAGGCCTGTGCTTTAGCACAGCGCTTCTCAAACCATATTAATAAGGGTTCTGTGATTTTACAAAATGTGCCTGTGGTCACATGAATTTTGAAAAGACTGAATTAAGTAAAATTAAATGTTTCTTTACTACAGGACTTCTCAGAGCCTTTAATATACCAGTGGGTCTATGAATGTCCAAGAGAGGGATGCAGTATGCTGTCTTTCGCAAATGTATTTGACCACAGAACACTGTTTTCACCTTTTTTTAAAATACTCTCTGATTTAAATACTGCTCAAGCGTTAAAACTCGGGAAAGAATCAGAAGGCGTCAATTTGTTTGGCCTCTGATTTGTCTGAATTAGGCCAAACAAGGAACCTTGTTGGAAATAGGATTATTGATTACTTGATGGCAGTCAGATTTCTGAAATTAACTAGAAATGCTGCTGTGGTTAAGTCATAGATGAAGACATCCTGATTACTTTTCTCCAAGCTCCCCAGGATGTTACTGAAAGTGTAAAATTAACAGACCAAGGTCATTTCTGGTTGATCCCTTATTGCGCCTACTTGAGGTCGGATACCACCCTCTGTCCGAGGCATGTAGTCCGAATTAGCTGGGGATGGGGGGTACTGGGACAGACGGGGGAACTGCTGGCTGGGGGAATGGAATTAGGAAGCAAATGTAGAAAGCCACAAGAGGCCCAGAGAATCCAGCTCATTATCAGGGCAGCTTATTTCCTCTCGAGTATTTCCGAGTTTGATTTTTGTCCCTTCCCCTTGGCCTTTGCTCCCTTCTCGAGGAGTCTTCTATTTTCCTTCTCGGGCTTCCTGGATCTTAGAACAGCAGCTCTGGGTGTTCTAGGACACTGATGACTGGAGGTATATCACAAGTCATCTGCGAGCTAAAGTAAACCATTAAAAGCTCATACATTTGCAAAGTGCCATAAAATAGAATGGATTCAAGATTACCCTATCAAATATCTTTTTTTTTTTTTTTTTTACCTACTTCCATTTAGATCTCCTGTTTGAGTGGGAAAGAAATGTTCTGGTTGCATACGTTATAATAATGCTTACAAGTTGTTTTATAGTTCCATTTTAATTTTCCATTTTGACAAAATTGCACTTCAGCTAGAAAGATGCTAGGAACATTTCCATTTGTAATGACACGACAAGTATGATTACCCAATAAATGGCAGCCAAAATGATGCAAGAGACATTTTCAGTGATGGTATTGTGGTTTTAAAAAAATAATAAGCTTAATTATTTGCATTCTTCAGTAGTCCATACTTGTTCCTTTTGCAATATTGTCTGTATTTCCTATAAAATAAAAGTCCAGAAAATGAATCATTTAAAAAAATGAAATACAATGTTTTCAAAAGTATATCTTTATTTTTTTAATGATAGTCATAAGATGGATAATTTTATTATTCTCTACTTATAAATTCACTGCTCTTCTTTAATATTTTCCTTTCTCCAAAAATAGTTGTGTCACACTAGTTGTTAATTTCCCTTCCTTGTCAGTTTGTAGAGGAAGAAGTGTTCATCCAAACTAGGTTTACCCACCTAGCGTGTGTGTCACACAAGGGAAGCTTGAACGCACAAATCAGTGGAGACCCTAATGCCAAAGAGGAGCTTCCTGGACTTTCCCTCCTAATTTGTAACATCTTTGTCTCGAGCTTTCACAGCAGTGGCATGCTTATGCCTGCCTGTTAGGAGACCAAGCACAGCCTGATACTGGGTAACCATGGGAAGGTTGACCTTATACTCGTAAACGACCCTCCCAAGTTGGCTCGCTGGCAGAGTTCTCAGGGTGCTTTGGAGCATAAGTCACAAAAGAAGGCTCAGTCAGTACAGTAAGGTGGATGGAGGTCAGACTGCCAGACTTTGAATTCTGATTCTCCCACTGTTCAAGTTACTGATCCTCTAAAATTGAGATAGTAACTATTTGGCATGATGGTTGGCACAGGGTAAGCACTGAACATATGTTAGCTTTAGAGCTATCTATCATGGGACAGTAGAAGTCGAAAGTAGAAGGGCAAAGAAGAACCAGGTGGGGTGGAAATTTCTTTCCCCTGCTGATGCAGCCTGATTGCCAGGTTAGTCATCTCCACGTTGGAACGTCCCTTTGGCTGAAATTTCTGTTAGATGCTGGACTCCACCATTGAGATAGAAAGGAATCGAGCCAGAGAGAAACTGCATCTCACCATTTGTGAACTTTACCTTTCCTGTTCATTCAGAAGGTCTGTAAGTGCGTCCTTAGAGGGGACTTCTGGCATGTCGGAGAAGGTTTTATGAGACACCTGTTGAGAATGGTTCCCTCCAGCAACAGAGAAGCTGTGGACTTTCTAAAGTTCCCTGGAATTGAGACGTGGCAGTTGAGTGGTAGATGTGACATTAAGTACATGAAATGAGCTTAGAAATACGACAGATGTTGGCCATCAGGATAAAGCAGTGCATAACACTGATCTATGATCAGGACTCAGAAGTGTTGAATTAGTCGGTAATGCCCTTTTTCTTTAATTTATTCATTCACTAAGTATTTAATGGGTTACAAATTTTGCAAACCAAGTAAATGAGTTTGAAAAAATAGTTTAACTTAATTTAGCTGTGACCTTCTGGGGGGCTCTGGGACTTTTTGTTTGAGCCATACTTAAATGAGGATTACTTTCTTAGAATTCTAATGTTGTATGAATGGTTGGTCAAGTTACATGTTTATTACTTTGCAGGGCTGACATAACAAAGTAACACAAACTGGGTGTCCTTTTTTTTCTTTCTGCTTTTTCTCCCCAAATCCCCCCAGTATATAGTTGGATATTTTAGTTGTGGGTCCTTCTAGTTGTGGCATGTGGGATGCCGCCTCAGCCTGGCCTGACGAGCCGTGCCATGTCCGCACCCAGGATCCAAACCAGCGAAATCCTGGACCGCCGAAGCGGAGCACATGAACTTAACCACTCGGCCACAGGGCCGGCCCCACAAACTGGGTGTCTTAAACGACAACAATTTCTTGTTTCATGGTTCTAGAGACTAGAAGTCTGAGATCAAAGTGTGAGCAGTGTTGAGTCCTTCTGAGGGCTGCGAGGAAGGATCTGTTCGAGGCCTCTCTCCTTGGCTTGTAGGTGGCTGTCTTCCCTGTATGCGTATCTCTGTGGCCCAATTTACTTTTTTTATAAAGGCATCAGTCATATTGTATTAGGGTCCACTCTAATGATTTCATTTTAACTTGATTGCATTTGCAGTGACTCTGTTTCCAAATAAGGTCATATTTTCAAATAACCCTGTTTTCGAATAAGGTACTGGATGGGGGTAGGCCTTCAACATATGAACATGGGAAGGACATAATTCGACCCAAAACAACAGGCTAATTTTCTGCTTGATGGATTTTTTTTCTCTTTTTTAAAGATTCTACATGGCAAGTCAAAGCAAATGACCGAAGCTTCCACGAACAACCTCAATTTATGAACACAAAATTCTTTTGTATTAAGGAGAGCAAATATGCGGTAAGTTGATTTTAAATTCCTGCATTATCTTTATTAAAAGCCGATTTTTCCCGGTAGCCATGGTGCTTACTAGTTTCACGGGACACCGGCCTTCCAGGCAACCCCTGGCCCAGGGCTGTTGATAATCATTGTTAGTTCTATGTGATGTCATTTTTATTCATCACATTAACTTTAACTCCCCTGAGAGTGTGTAGCAGTGGCTTGAAACAAAACAAAACAAAATCATGTAGATTGAAAATGTCCCTATGTATGTGCAAAGCTCTCTTTAAAATGTTTTATGAAGAATATGCGATAATGTCACAGAAGCCTGATGTTTGAAAGTAATACGAATTTGAAAGGAATCTTAATAACTTATCTCCCCCTCCTCTGCCTGTGATAGATTTAGAGACTGAAGATATTTTCACCTCCAAAATGCTTATTACCTTTGAAATATGATAAAGAACACCTGCTAAGTGTGGGCTTAAATGTTGTGAGATGTCTATAAGTTCCCTAGAATTGCTTACAAAGTACCAAAACTGGGTGGTTTAAAACAATCGAAATTTATTATTTACAGTTCAGGGGGCCAGAAGTCTAAAATCAAGGTGTCAGCAAGGTGTTGGTTCCTTCTGGAAGATTTGCAGGAGAGTCTGTTCCAAGCGTCTCCCCTGGATTCTGGTGATTGCTGACAGTCCTTGGCTTTCAGATGCATCACTCCAGTCTCTGCCTCTGTCTTCACATGGGCTTCTCTCTGTGTGTCTCTGTCTGTGTCCAATTTCCTTCTTCTTCCGTGGACACTGTTTTTGGGTCCACCTTAATCCAGTAAGACTTCACTGTAACTTGATCACATCTGCAAAGACCCTATTTCTAAGTAAGATGGCCTCCACAGGGATCCGGGTTAGGACTTGAGCATATCTTCTGAGCACGCAATTCAACCCACAATGGTGTCTTTTACTCTTTCTTACACAGTAGCCTCCATCCCCCTTACATAAGAGTGACCCTTTTCCAGCTTGCCACCCATGTTGATGTCTCCTTTGCCCATTTTCTAAGAAGCTCTAAGGGGTCAAGGAATCTGACAGCAGGATCCATTTGGTCACAGCTGGACTTGCCGCAGAGCCTGTTGAGGTGAAGCCTCTGCATCCTGTTACCATCTCTGACATAAGCCTCCAGGGGAGTCACTCGGAAGCCTGGCTAGAAGTAAAAGCTTAAAGGAAGTCTCACCATCTTTCTGACTGACAAGTTATGTCCCCATGTCACTGTGGGCCACAGGGCTTAGTGATTTTTGCAGATGTGTATACATTGTGATAAATGTGTGGCATCATTTAGAATGACTCTCTTATTTTTCTCCAACAGAATAATGCAATTAAAACATACAAGTATAATGTGTTTACCTTTCTACCAATGAATTTGTTTGAGCAGTTTAAGAGAGCAGCCAATTTCTACTTCCTGGTCCTTCTTGTCTTACAGGTAATGTCCTTTGATATCTTAAATCTATTTTGAATTATGGTGACTCGATAACGTTTAAGTTGTGGACACATATAATGTGAATAATCTTGAAAGTTTTTTACATTAATATCAGGGTTCTGCCCATATGGGAACATACGTCATATACAGAACTGGCTCAATCATTGTTAAATGAACAGGGAAAAGGAGCAAATGGAAATGGTATTTTAATTCTGTATTTTTAAAATTCAGTTTCACGCTGATGTGAACGTTAAGACCGCTTTCTCTGAAGTGAATAAAATTAAGATCTTCACTTTGTAAAATTATTTGTGTCTTAAAATTTATTTTTTATGCTTGCCTTTTATTTTTTATTTAGATACCCAATTTCCCCAAGAATGTTACTGATTTTTATTAATATTTTGGTCATAAATCTCAGTTGATTATTTTTGTGAACTGATTTTACGTTGGAAAAGGCATTTATTTTTTTTTTCTTAATTGTGGCAAACGATTATTCACTTATCTGGAAAGCATTCATGTTCTCTCTTTAGGAACTGTTGTTATAATCCAGGGAGCTCTACACCCCCGAGTTGCCTCTCAGAGCACCAACCTTTCGCACCTGCTGTGCAGGTTGCAGAGGATGGCATGGCCACTTGGTTTATCAGATTCTTTACATTAAGCCTTGGGTTTGGAAAAGAGTCTCCCGGCTGGGATTTACCCAGTAAGGTTTTATGAAAATGGTAACATGTGTGTCTCAGGGGACGGAGGACAGATGGAGTGGAGAGAAGAGAAGACGCGAGACAGAAATGGATACGCAATAGATTTAGTAGAATATAGGACCTGTTGACCTGATGGTTCTCTTATCAAGAGGGACCTTTGAGACAGGCTTGCGTAGAGATAAACACTACGCATCCTAAGGTGCTGTGGCATGATAAGTGGGCTACTCTTCCCTTACTTCCTTCTGGCAGGGAAAAGGGGAGTTCCACGCATTGACAGTAATGTAGGAAATGATCTTTCTCTCTTCCAACCACTCCCCAGTTATCTTTTCTTAAGGTCCAGCAGTCCAAATTAGAATAATAGGAGTAGCCTCAGTGAGCCCTTTATTTGCACTGTTACTTCCCTTAATCCTTGTACTCAGTGTAAGTACTATCCTAGCCTCCATTTTGTAGAGAAGAACTGAGGCTTGGCAAGGTGTAAAGGAACTTGCTCGAAGTCCCATAGCCTGAAGTGGACTTGGATCCAGGAGTTTGACTCCAAGGCCTGTCAATTTAACCTCTCCATTATAGGATGGTGACAAGAGATCTTTACTAAACTTGCATCCCAATCCTTTATTCCAATTTGGAGGCTGTCTGGATGGAGGCGGGGCTTCCTGCAAGGCCAGCCTCTTTCTTGGGGGGACCAGGAGCAATGACCGTGAAGAAAGCACTTTCTTCTAGTACCCCCAGCGATGCCCCACCCAATCACTAGCTTTCAGAAGCAGCCACTACCTACTACCATCTCTGCCTCCATCATGGGACCCTCAGAGACCGCTGGCTGAGCAGCCAGCAGTGTAGAGCCAGCTGTGCATTCCCTAAAAGTTAAAGGACTGCTTCCCCCCAGCGCTCCCTACGGCCCTCCCCGCTGTTGATTATGACTTTCACAAAAGGTTTAGAGCTGTTCTCTTTTAGGTATCATGTTACAAAGCCTCTTTGGTGTGCAGTTAAGGTCACAATGAGACAATTTCAGGAGCTCCTCTCCTCTGGGCTCTGTTCCAGGAGGCCAGAAGCTGGCGAGAGAGCCATGAGAAAGAAGTTAGCTGAATGCTCAGACGCCTTTCCCTGCATGCTCTGCAGGATGTAGACTTGGGTGATGATGGAGATCAGACTTAGAATCAGCGAGCTTAGAATGAGCAGTTATCTGTAGGTTGGCTGTGTCTTCCTGGGCACACATGTATGCCTTTTTATTTCTTTCAGTCAATCCCTCAAATCACAACCCTGGCATGGTACACCACCCTGGTGCCCTTGCTTGTGGTGCTGGGCATTACGGCGATCAAAGACCTGGTGGATGATGTGGTAAGGATTTCTCTTGCAACTTTCTCCTCACTGCTGTGAGCTTATTTTAGTTCCACATCAATACTTTACATTTTGAGATTACTAAAATAGCCTTTCCCCATCTCTCTTCTAAAGGCTCGCCATAAAATGGATAACAAAGTCAACAACAGGACATGTGAAGTCATTAAAGATGGCAGGTACTTGTGCCTTTCCTAATTTGTAGTACCTTAGTTACCAGGATGTAATGTATAAATAGGTCTAGAAACATGCTTAGAGATGACTGTTAGAATTTATAAGTCTATCAGCACATTAACCTTGCATTGTCAAGGCCTCTGTTAATTTGCTAAGACTTTGCGTCCTCTTCGTGACCCAGAGGCGAAACCCAAACTGGATTACAGGTGGTTGCCTGATTGGGCTCTGTGTCCTCATCACTCCTGTGTTGATGTAACTCCTTCAGCCTGGAATATGCTGCCCTCCTCTCTACTCTTCCCAAACTTATGCAGTTCAGGGCTTTGCTCAAATGTCTTGACCCCTTTCCCAATTCTCCAGCTAAAGTGACTTCTTCCTTCCCTGAACTTTCAGAGCATTTTTTTTCATTTTTCGTATTGTGATCTGAATTTTATTAGAATTATTTGTGTAGATGTCCCATCTTCTGTCCAGAACTATAAGTTTCTTGAGGAGACTGTCCTGATGGTGTTTGTTTTGGGGCCCACGAGGGCCTCCATCACGCAGGAAGTGCTCCATAAACGTTTGTTAAATTAACGTAGTTAGCTGTGACCGAAGTGCCAACTCAGGGATCAGTAATGAGTTGTTTTTTGCGCAAGAGCCTCAAGGCAGAATTACAAATTCAAGGGCTAAAAATAGTGACTAAGCCTAATTCAAAGACTTTTTATGTGTCAGCCCTGGGGAAAATAACCTGATTTACATCCACACTTCAACTGTGCCTAATTGCATATAGACTACATCAATCTATAAATATGTTTAGATGGCTTTTTTTCCCTCACAAATAAATAGATTCTGTTCTACATAACTTAGAGTCACTGTCATGAATGGAGATAAGATACATAGCTAGCCCCACACAGCTCTGTTTAGCCCACAACCTGGCTAACTGCACGGTAATGAGTAGCTCTGAGTTGCCTTGAATTGGGGACAGCATATCTGTTGGGGACGCATATCTGGCAGGGCTGTGGCCCTGGCAGGCCCTGGAGTGGGGTCAAGCCTGTGTGGGGCCTTGGGTATCTGTGGGGCAGGACATCAGGGGCCTCCCAAGGGGACAGTGGGACATCACAGTGGAAGAATCCAATGGAACTGCCTCTAATACCCCCAAAGAACTGTGGCAAGAAGGTGCTTACCTTGTTCGTTTATAATTTGAGACCCACACGCAAATTGCTAATTTATCATTTTAGAGATATTGAAACATAAACTAACTATAATTCCTTTTATTGGAAGATAAACCAAGTTAAAAAAAATCCTGAGATTAAGAAATTCTGTATTAAATTCTTGTAAAATTGAGGAAACTGAGGCATAAGGATATATTTAAAATGTATTTTAAATCTCTAGGTCTGTTATCTATAAATGAATGGGAGGACAAGCATAGTCATTGGATTCCTGCCTCTAAAAAACATTAAGTTTCTTAGTTGCACTAGGTTCATAATATCTGTTAGGCATATCTTTTTATGTATGTGAAAACCTTTAAAAGAGACTCCTATATTCTAAAGCTTTTTTAATTGTTGATTTCTTAGACATTTAAATGAGTATTTCCTGTGGAATTTAATACTGAAGATAGTAATCTTTTTATTTTATTTTATCAATATCCTTGTTAGACTTATTATAAAAGTGATACATACTCACTAGAAAGATAATTTAAACAATAGAGAGGAGGCAAGCTCTAAAGCTCCCTGAGGATTCCAGGTGGCCCGTGTGGGAGTCATGATGCTGCCCTGTCCTGGGACCAGCACCGAGCAGGTGATGGAGCGTAGAGAGGAAAGAGAACAGGAGAGGTGGGAGCGTAGGACATGGGTAAAAACAAAAAGGGTGGCATGTATCTCCTTGCCACACATTTAAGTAGCCCCCATTGACCCTTTATTACATGATGTAGAAGGAAAAGAACATCAAAGTCATCACCATCGTTGTTCTTTCCTTCAGAAGATAGTACGATTCTCATGACCCCTTAATCATTAAATGACTGAACTTTTAGCAAACCTTTTCCTTGGGTTATGCATGTTTTCCCAGAATCTTTGGCTTCCAGAAAGAATAATTCCAAGTCCCTTGCCAGTAACTTTTTAAAAACCATAGAACTATCATTATTTTTAATATTTAGATTTAAAATTGCCAAGTGGAAAGAGATTCAAGTTGGAGATGTCATTCGTCTGAAAAAAAATGATTTTATTCCGGTAAGTGAGCAAGCTCTGTGTGTCTCGTTCCTTGTTCTCTCCTCTGACGTGGTGCTCAGTTTTGCCCTTTGGGGTCTCTGTGTCATTGGTGTGTTTTGTTTTGAACAGGCTGACATCCTGCTGCTGTCCAGCTCTGAACCTAACAGCCTCTGCTATGTGGAAACGGCTGAGCTCGATGGGTAAGCGTGTCTTAGACAGGCCTGTTTTAAAGCTGACCCTTAATGGCATGTTTATTACACCGAAAGCTGCGCACTCTGGACAGAAAGCCCTGAGAACCAGCCGTGCCTCTGCCACTTGCTGGCTGTCCAGCAGTCTCCCTGTTAGACCAACCTCTCTGTGTTTTATTCCCTCTGTAAAGTGGCGCTCTCAAATTTGCCTTTCCCCTACCTTCCAGAGAAGGTACAAGGATTGTTGGCAGAATGTATGCCTGAGCCCTTCATACACTGCTGAGCAGAGTCTAGACACATAGGAATGACTCATATAATAATCTATTTCAGAAAAAAAGAACAGATTTTTTTTTTATTTTTTATTGAGTTAATGGTAGGTTACAATCTTGTGAAATTTCGGTTGTACATTATTGTCTGTCAGTCGTGTTGTAGGTGCACCCCTTCACCCTTTGTGCCCACCCCCCACCCCCCCTTTCCCCTGGTAGCCACTAATCTGTTCTCTTTGTCCACATGTTTAAATTCCTCATTTGAGTGGAGTCATACAGAGATTGTCCTTCTCTATCTGGCTTATTTCACTTAACATAATTCCCTCAAGGTCCATCCATGTTGTTGCAAATGGGACAATTTTGTTCTTTTTTGTGGCTGAGTAGTATTCCATTGTATATATATATATATATATATATATATATATATATACCACATCTTCTTTATCCAATCATCTGTTGATGGGCACTTAGGTTGCTTCCACGTCTTGGCTATTGTAAATAATGCTGCAATGAACATTGGGGTGCATGGGACTTTTGGAATTGCTGACTTCAAGCTCTTTGGATAGATATCCAGTAGTGGGATAGCTGGATCGTATGGTAGTAAAAAGAACAGATTTTTAAAGTCTTTGCCAATATACAATTTTGAATTCTCCCATTGGTGGTTTTGGTTATTATGCCGCCACTTGAAAAAGAGCAAAGTTCTGTTTTTGACTAGTTTTCAATAGGTTTATTGAGTGCTTATAGGTTGCATTAGCTTTATGTGTTAGCTCATTTAATCTCAACAACCCTATGAGATGAGTAGTATTATTACCTCCACATTACCCATGAGGAAACTGAGGCACAAGGAGGTGAAGTAGTCTGCCCAAGGTCACACAGTAAGTGGCATAAGTGGCAGAGTTGAGACACTGCTCCCCTGTGCTGGCTCTCAAGGCTAGTGCCCGTGTTGCCCACTCATAAACTCCTTTCCCCATGCCCTAGATGAGCATAAGCTCCTTTATGGAGAGCTGAAATCATCTGATTAACAAGCAGGTCTTTCTTTGCTCTATAAATCAGTTGATTGATTGTTCAATCTTAGCTACAGAACAGCTGTTATTCTCATGAGTGAGAGATTCTAAAGCTTTACAAAGATATAAAATCCTATCATGCCCTGTCGGAACAGACAAAATGGGAAAGTTGAGAACCACTGGTCAGCTTCTATTTGTGAAGCCTGTAAAAGGACGTCCATCGTGAGAAGGCAGCATCGCTCTCCAGAGCGCACATACTTAGCCTGACCCTACGTGTCCTCTCACACGTGCCTTGCCTTGCACTGTGGATGGGACGTGCCAAGTTTTGGGGGTAAGGTTAACCACCTCTTTTCTCAGATAGAATTATTTTTCAAAGACTTGGGATCCAGTTATGATGGGAAATAGTAAGTTGACAGAGTCTAGACACTTTCTGTAATAACCGTGTTTTGTACAATCATCTTATTGTGATTAAATATTAGAAGCTAAGTTTTTCAACAGAAGTTTGATAGACCAGACTGTTGCTAAGTCTTAAGTTGGTAAGAAGGAGGAAGGGAAACTTGTGGGTGCCTCTGTCCTTCCCATACTGGCCCAAAGTGACAAACAGCAAAGGGGACCAACATTTCCCTGATCAGGAGTTTTTCCTCTAGTTCAGAGGATATCTTGATGTAAACCTGAAGTTCCATGGTGAACAGAAAGTTGGAAATCGAAAAAGCTAATTATTTAGCTTTCACTTCTAGGTATGCCTAATGTTACTTTGTACAATTTTCTTTATATTCCCTTTCAAACTCCAAAATTTATTCGTTTACTTCTCTTTTTGTTTCTCTCCCTTTAGAGAAACCAATTTAAAGTTCAAAATGTCACTTGAAATCACACACCAATATCTTCAAAGAGAAAATTCGTTGGCAACATTTGATGGTTTGTACAAACGTGTCTTACTTTGTATTAAATTTTAGTGGCTTGATTGAGTTCCTATTAATTAAAACCAGAAAATCTTTCATATGTGAGTACTTATGTAAATCATATCTTTTTTAAAGGTTTAATTGAATGTGAAGAACCCAATAACCGACTGGATAAATTTACAGGAACACTATCTTGGAGAAACGCAAGTTTTCCTTTGGATGCTGATAAAATTTTGTTACGTGGCTGTGTAATTAGGAACACCGATTTCTGCCATGGATTGGTCATTTTTGCAGGTACTTTCACGGTTTCTTGGGAAATTGATCTGATATCCACATTGAAGATTAAAGGAGGGGCTTAATTTTCTGTCCTTCCTCGAAACCAAAGGAAGAGTAATTTTATTGACATGCCAGTAAATTGATTTTTCCAATTGTTGATCGCATTAAATTTTCCATTTTTAGGTGCTGACACTAAAATAATGAAGAATAGTGGGAAAACCAGATTTAAAAGAACTAAAATTGATTACTTGATGAACTACATGGTTTATACGGTATTTGCTTTCTGTTTTGGTAGATGAGAAGCTAGATTGCTGTCTTTTACTCTAATTCTGTTGTATGTTTTTCTAATGGAAAGAAATCTTACATCTGTAGGCCAAATATGGAAATGCTTGAGGCATTCCAAGATTGGATGGGGGCAGAGTTCACTCATTTTTTCTCAGACATGCTGCATTTCTATTAGGAGAAGTTCCTTGGGAATGGAACTTCCAGTTGTAGGGTGCTCTGAGTAGTTGAGTATTTTGGTGCCTGGATTGACCAGTTGGAAAACCAGATTGCCTCAGATAAGTTAGTGGGATTGGGCTCCTGTGAGGTCCATGTAGGGTTGGTTTTACTGCTGTTAATTTTCCATAGGGATAGTTTTCTTAAAAGCAAACTTTTTTTTTTCCAACATATATTTTTAAGTCCAAATATAAGGCAGGTTTAAGTGTGTGTTGAGGGTCCCTAAGACCACCCCCAGGTTCGATGATTCCCTAGGAGCATGCACAGAAGTCAGTGTACAGTTGCACTCACACTTATGACTGATTATAGCTTATTACAAAGCAAGATCAGTGAAGGGCAAAGCGCGGAGGAAACCAGGTGCCAGCTGCCAAGAGTTCTCTTCCAATGAGGTCTCACACACAAGACATGCTTCATTCCCCTCACGACAATTTGTGACAGCCCATGTGAAGTGCTATCTGTACCAGGGAAGTTCACTGGAGACTCAGTGCCTGGGGTTTTTTTGGGGTTTGGTCATGTAGGCTCTGCCTGCCTGCCACGTACCGAAATCCCAGACTTTCTGAAGCATTGCAGGTGGTCAGCGTAAACCATGTTGATTTACACAACCGGTTGGGCACCATGAGCCATTCTTATCAGAGACTAAGAAATAAGGAATCAGGAAACCCTCCCAAAATCTAAGTTCCCAGACGCCAGCCAAGGGCCAACCTTGCAAGCAGGCCTTCTAAGGATAGCAGACCTGCCGTGTTAAATCTTCTACACCTACAGTGGCCCCAAATATTAGCCAGTCCTCAAATTTCCCAATGAGAATTAATTTTTTTTCAAGTGTTTAGTTTAATTTGAATACATAAACTTTTAGGGGCTTATAATACTGTAATTGCATATACATATTTTAGATCATATAAAAGCAATATACTAATTTAAGAAAAAACTCTTTTTTCCTGGTCTCACATTTTACAAAAACTTTATTGAAACTTTTCCCGTGCATCTTCCATGTCACTGTTGTGGTTATGACTAGAGCACTCACAAGGAGCTCATTGTCTCTCCTTCTGTGCCAAGTCATTTTGAAATATAGCACTTTTGGAATCTGTGTCCAGACATTTAAATCTGTCCCTGGAAATTTTATTCCTACCCACAAATACCCAAATACCACTAGGACAGTTGACTGTTTTATTCATTCCTTAAGTATATACTCATAATTTCCACAACAGAATACTTACTATATTGCTTCTTAAATGGTCTTAACCTTAAGTGATCATTAAACCTTCAGGAGGCCAGCCCAATGGCACAGCAGTTAAGTGCGCATGTTTCACTTCGGCAGCCCAGGGTTTGCAGGTTCGGATCCCAGGTGTGGACATCGCACCGTGTGGCAAGCCATGCTGTGGTAGGAGTCCCACATATAAAGTAGAGAAAAACGGGCACGGATGTTAGCTCAGGGCCAGTCTTCCTCAGAAAAAAGAGGAGGATTGGCTGATGTTAGCTCAGGGCTAATCTTCCTCGGAGGGGGGAAAAAACCCTTCAGGAATAATTACCCAAATCTGGGTGAAATTTCCTTGCCACCTTTTTAAAGAAATCATTTCCATCAAACATTTTCTATAAGCATCCCAATTCATCATTCTTTGCAATTGTTTCATGCTTAGGTAAGGTGTCTTCCCCAAACGGTATGTTATTATTCAAAGTAAGAGTGATTGAGAGAATGCCCTGTAATATGAGAATGTTTAAAGATTTGAATATAAGACTCTACTTTCTCTTCTGAAAGATAATTTTGGGAAGAAAACCGTATCGTATGTGTGGTGTGTGGGATAAGTCAATCCATCGTAGAAATCAAATAGACTTACAAAGTGTTCTTATGGCACTGTTTTTATTTTAAGTGTGTTGTTTTTACAGCCTACTAAATTATTATAAACATGTGAAGTATTGAGTAGATTAACACCTATGAAATGCATGGGATTGGCAGTCCATCTTCACAATACACTTAAATGTCGTGTGTCTTCTAGATCTTTGTTGTTCTTATCCTGCTTTCTGCTGGACTTGCCATTGGCCATGCTTACTGGGAAGCTCAAGTTGGCAATTATTCTTGGTACCTCTATGATGGAGAAGACTCTACACCCTCCTACAGTGGATTCCTAAATTTCTGGGGCTACATCATTGTTCTAAACACACTGGTGCCCATCTCTCTCTATGTCAGGTAAGCCTGTCTTCTCGTTAGCCTTTTGCTTTAAGGGAAGAACACAGTACATTTTCCCAACTTGACGCCTTTGTTTCTAGCAATAATTGTTTCAAAGGTCCTAAGGAAGAAGTAAGAAAAGAACTTCCATTTCAGAATTGAGGGTAATATAGGGAAAGGAAGTTAATATTTGCGTGTGTGCCCTGTGCAAGGCATGGCACTTCCTATCTCAACCTCTTTACAGATAAGACTACTGGAGTTCAGAGATCAAATGCTAGTCCTGTAGTCACTCTCTTGGTCAGATTCCTTCTCTCTGGGCTCCAAACCCCCAAGCTTCAGAAAGAGGCTGGGAGAAGGTAGAGATTTAGAATGTCAAGGGAAAACTTAGTGGTTTTCCCTTTCAGGAGCCTTCCTAACCTCTTAGGTGTCTTCCTTATTATCACCTGCCATACCCATTACTTTTAACTCATTAGGCTTCCTAGCCACTGCCTTGTAATGGGAATGCCACACTCCCCACCCACCTTCAGCCTCTCAAAATGGTCTGTTTCTTATCTCAATCTCAAACACAATAAAGGAGTCAGGGTCATATCTCTTACAAATGGTAATCGCCTTGTTTTGTGATATTTCTTCTGTTTTTACTTTTTCTTTAATATCAAAGTTCACTGTCACCAGTCAATTGGGTTTTAGACCTTTGGGAGAGGGATCGTGCCTTGGAATACACTCAGCAGCCAGAGTCTGCTCTTGGTTCTAATAAGTAACAGCCCAGAGGCATACAGGGTAACATACACACCTGTAATTAGGAGCACTTACTTTATTTTAATTTTATTACGTGTGCATTTGTTTTATTTTTAATTTTATTACATGTAGTTGCTGTTATTCTTTTAACAAAACCCTGGAGAGCCATGTGTCTGCAGTTACGTAAAAAAAAAATGAGATGAGTTTTACCTTTGTTAAGAGAACTATTACACAGATTATTTTGTCCAAAACCATAAATATATGTCATAAAATAAGCTGTATATGTAGTTTTGAGTTTAAAAAGGTCATGACTGGGCCACCCCTACGGCCTAATGGTTAAGTTTGGCACACTTCTCTTCAGCGGCCTGGGTTTGTGGGTTCAGATCCTGGACGTGGACCTACACCACTTGTCAGCCATGCCGTGGCAACATCCCACATATAAAGTAGAAGAAAATTGGCACAGATGTTAGCTCACAGCTAATTTTCCTCAGAAAAAAAAAAAAAAATATATATATATATATATATATATAAATAAATAAAAAGGTCATGACATGTGACTAATATGATTTATTTCTCTTGGAAATAAAAGTCTTTTAAAAGCATAAGTTAGGTGAGGTCATTCCAGATAATATCCCTGCTTTGTTTTGAACCCTATAGTAGCTTTCCATCTCATTCAGCATAAATGCATCAAAGCCACACTATAACCCACAAGGCCTGGAGTGATCTGGTGCTCTGCCCTCCAACCCTGACCGTCACCTTCTGTACCTCCACCACCTCCCTGGGTTCCCACCACTCTAGCCTCCTTGATACTCCTCACTGGTGCCTGTGCCAGCCACAGGGCCTTTGTACCTGCTTTTCTTTCTGCCTGGAACATTCTTCCCTGCGTAGTTGCTCTTTCATTTCCTTCAGGTCCTTCAGGTCTCTGCTCCAGCACTACCCTATCACTTTGGCCTTTCCTGACTCTCTGTATTTTTTTAAAAATTATTTTATTGAGGTCATAATGGATTATAACATTGTGAAATTTCAGGTGTACATTATTATTTATCAGTTTCTGTATAGACTGCATTGTGCTCACCACCAATAGTCTAATTTTTATCTGTCACCATATATATGTGCCCCTTTACCCCTTTCGCCCACTCCCCAACCCCGTTCCCCTCTGGCAACCACTAATCTGTTCTCTTTGTCCATGTGTTAGTATATCTTCCACATATGAGTGAAATCATGGGTGTTTGTCTTTCTCTGTCTGGCTTATTTCGCTTAGCATAGTACCCTCTAGGTCCATCATGTTGTTGCAAATGGTACGATTTTGTCTTTTTTTTATGGCTGAGTAGTATTTCATTGTATATATATTGCCACATCTTCTTTTTCCATTCACCAGTTAGTGGACACTTGGGTTGCTTCCATGTCTTGGCTGTTGTGAATAATGCTGCAATGAACATAGGGGTGCATAAGTCTCCTTGAGTTGTTGATGTCAAGTTCTTTGGATAAATAGCCAGTAGTCAGATAGCTGGGTCATATGGTATTTCTATTTTCAACTTTTTGAGAAATCTCCATACTGTTTTTCATAGTGGTTACACCAGTTTGCATTCCCACCAACAATGTAAGAGAGTTTCCTTTTCTCCACATCCTCTCCAACATTTGTTGTTTTTCGTCTTGATGATTATCCCATTCTAACAGGTGTAAGGTGATATCTCGTAGTTTTGATTTGCATTTCCCTGATGATTAGTGATGTCGAACATCTTTTTATGTGTCTGTTGTCCATCTGCATATCTTCTTTGGAAAAATGTCTGTTGTTATCCTCTGCCCATTTTTCTTTATCAGGTTGTTTGTTTTTTTGTTGTTGGGTTGTATGAATTCTTTATATATTTGGGAGATTAACCCCTTGTTAAATATTTGATTTGCAAATATTTTCTCCCAGTTGGTGGGTTGTCTTTTTGTTTTGTTCATGGTTTCCTTCACCATGCAGAAGATCTCTTGACTCGCTGTATCTTAAATGTCACTTCCATCCCTGTTGGTCTCCAGCCACCCTTACCCTGCTTTCATTTTCTGCAGAGAATTTTCACCCCTTGAGATAATATATATTGACTGGTCTATTTATTTGTCTCCATTAGCAGGTGACCTCCATGAGAGCAGGGATTTTGTCTGTTTTATTTACTGGTGTGTCCCCTGTACCTAGAATAGTGTCTGGTACGTAGTAGGCACTCAAGAAATATTTATGGGATGGGGGGAGGGAGTTATTTTTCCATCTGCTTGACTTGTTATAAAACTTATAACCTGTTATAAATTGGCCCATGTAACAGTTGCTGGATATGTCAACAGCTTCCTCAAAACTGAGACACATCACAGTTTTCAAATTGAGATGATCCTTTTAGAGTATCCTATTCTGGACATTCTAGAACCTTATAAGAATTTAGGGGAAAAAAATGCTTTTTCGCAAGTGTGGAATCACAATTTAGGAGTTATTTGCCAAAAGCCCTTTGCCCTACTTGAGGGCACACGGGGGTCTGTAACCTCATGGACCCTCACTCCCTTTGCCCTGCGGTTGGGGGCAAAGGTGAACACGGCCGTTGCAGTTGTCCCTCGGTGCGATGGGGAATGAGAGAAAAGAGAGTAGCATTGCCACATTGTGCAGTGCCATCTGCAGTGTTACCATGTCACCTGTCCCACCGGGCTGTGTGTTCTGAATGTGGGGCACTGTGGCCATGGCCAGATGTGCTCAGGACTGAGAGGGAGACCACTGTGAGCAGGCGGCTTTGACCCTGAAGCTGAAGAGAGCTGTGTTTGGTCAGGAGAACCCAGAGGCTGGGCACGTGGGCCACCACATGGCTTGTCTCTGTAGATGAGCAGCTCGCTCTTGTACACGCAAGTGAGGATGGAATCCACTACCTGCCAATCATATGTGAGAACTCTCTTGAAAGTGATCTTTTGTCTTCCTAGTGTGGAAGTGATTCGTCTTGGACAGAGTTACTTCATAAACTGGGACCTGCAGATGTACTATCCTGAGAAGGACACGCCCGCAAAGGCAAGAACCACCACGCTGAATGAGCAGCTTGGGCAGATCCATTACATTTTCTCTGATAAGACAGGGACCCTCACACAGAATGTCATGACCTTTAAAAAGTGCTGCATCAACGGGCAAATATACGGTGAGTGGAAGTTGTTCCTCAGGCCTGGGGCATGCATGACCAGAGCTTGCTGTCCCAGAGTTGCTCATACGCTCCCAGTGCAGAGCCCTGGTGGTCATTCCGGGTTGAGTTCAGAAGCTGCATTGCTGGTGGTGTTGGGGACATATGCATGGGAGAGGTCAGCAGTCAGAAATAGGCACACGTTCCTCAAAAAATTAAACATAAAATCACTGTGTGATACAGCAATTCCACTTCTGGGTTGTATATCCAAAAGAATTGAAAGCAAGGACTCAGAGATATTTGTACACCCATGTTCATAGCAGCATTACTCGTAATAGCCAAAGTGTGGAAGCAACCCAAGTGTCCATCGACGGATGAATGGATAAAGACAATGTGTTATATCCATAGAAAGAAATATTACAAGACTATACTTTCAGGGATCATTTCTATAGTTTGTTACATAGCCTTAAAAAGAAAGGAAATTCTGGCACATGCTACAACACAGATGAACCTTGAGGGTATTATGCTAAGTGAAATAAGCCAGTCAGAAAAGAACAAATACTTGATGATTCCACTTACATGAGGTATCTAGAACAGTCTAATTTGTAGAGACTAAGTGGAATGGTGGTTGCCAGGGGCTGGGGGACAGAGAGGAATGGGGAGTTAGTGTTTAATGAGTACAGAGTTTTAATTTTACCAGATGAAAAGAGCTATGGAAGTGGACGGTGGTGATGGTTGCACAACAGTGTAATTATACTTAATGCCTCTGAATTCTGCACTTAAAAATGGTCAAGATGGTAAATTTTATGTTATGTATCTGTCACCACAGTTATTTTTAAAAAGTTGATTTCCATTCTAATATTCTGAAATGTGCTATATATTTATAAAAATATTATTGCCTTCAAATAGAGTGCTCCAACTTTTAAACAAAGACTTAATACCGTTTTTTTAAAAAAAAGCTATAAGAACACCATATGCTTTCCACTTGTAGGAAACTTTATACTATGAACATGAACATGTTTTCACATAGTGAGCATCAGTGAGGAAGGTGGGACACTGGGAGGTTGAGGAAATGGTTCTCATGTGCGTGGCAGTCCATTCTGGGAGATGTAGAGCACTTCAAAGGACATGATTCTGGCCCCAGAGGAGAGTACAGTGTAGAGGGACACAGGTGCCAGTATTTGTGTCTCTTGACCAGGGGTCAACGAACTTTTTCTATAAAGAGCCAGATAGAAATATTTTAGTCTTTGCAGGCCATATAGGTCTGTATCAGATATTTTTTGTTAAGTCTTGGTTGTTTTTTGCAACTCTTGAAAAATGTAAAAACGCTTCTTATCTTGAGGGTTGTCCAGAAACAGGCTATGAGACCCACAGCACCACCACCAACACAGCAAGATGGGGAGGGACCTCTGGACACAGGTCGTGACTCAATCTGCTTTGTCCTGTCTGTTTTTCAGGAGACCATAGAGATGCTTCTCAAAATAATCATAGCAAAATAGAGGTGAGTCCTTTAACTTAAGGCATTGTTCGGGGTATGGATTAGTTTCGTAGGACTGCTGTAACAAATTACCACAAACTGGGTGGCTTAGAACAACAGAGATTTATTCTCGACAGTTCTGGAGGCTGGAAGTCTGAAATCAAAGTGTCAGCAGGGCCGTGCTCCCTCTGAAGGCTCTGGGGAGGAAGCCTTTCTTGCCTTTTCCAGCTTCTGGTGGTTGCCTGCAGTCCTTGGTGTTCCTTGGCTTGTAGACGCAACACTCAGATGTCTGCGTGTGTTGTCACATGTGTTCCCCCTGTGTGTCTGTGTCCAAGTTTCCCTCCTTTTATAAAGGTGCCAGTCATTGGATGGGGGCCCACCCTAATCCACTATAACCTCATGTTAACTTGATTATATCTGCAAAGACCTTATTTCCAAGTAAAGTCATATTGACAGGTACCAGGGGTTAGGACTTCAACATATCTATTGTGGGGTGAGGGGACACAATTCAACCCACAACGGAGTGTCTTTTTGTTTTAAGACAGGTGTGAGCCTCTTGACTCTTAAGACTGTGTTAAAATCCTAAGGTGATTTTTGCATAAACACTTGGGATTTGTTAAGCCCAAACTGGGTTTTTAAATCACATTTTCTTTTCCTTCTCTACTTCTTTCAGCAAGTTGACTTTAGCTGGAATACATTTGCCGATGGGAAGTTTGCCTTTTACGACCATTATCTCATTGAGCAAATCCAGTCAGGGAAAGAGCCCGAAGTCCGGCAGTTCTTCTTCTTGCTCGCTGTTTGCCACACTGTCATGGTGGACAGAATTGATGGTGAGTGTTTCTCTGGCGTCTTGGACCTCGGAGACCAGTTTTTTAGTTTACAGGTGACTTGTGCTTGGGACTCAGGTGCATATAGAGTAGTAAGCATGACGAGTTTGTGTCACTTTCACTCAAGCACAGAATATTTGTGAGCACATTTCACTGGGTGATAAATGGGATGGCAAAGTATGAAGCAAGATTTTGGTCTCTGAAAATTTACATCTTATTCATAGTTAGAGCTCCAGATGTGTTTATCGCTTTCTAAATGAAATCTTATCATTAAAAGAAATGGTTGACTCTTGAGTATAATAGAAGAAGCAAAATCTTCCCATGGTATCATTACTTAACATTTATTGAGAATGAAGAGTCAAACCTTATTTGGATCGTAAGTGGACTTTAAACTTGGATAATCTTTTCTACAAAATAATTTCAGAGAGAAACTTTTATTTTCTAGATTCAGGTATGTTCAGGGTTTGAAATAATACCAGCCAACGCCCAGGACTCCAAGGTGCCTTTTTCATTTGAAGGAGCATAATTAATGTGTGTTTGCATGGGAACAAGCAAAGCTGACTTGTAGGTCCCTTTGCAGAATTCTTAAATGTAGCTTGAGAGAGCTTTGTTACAAGTTTGTCCAGTGTCAACGAAAGCTGGTCCTTTGATCACAAATGAACATAATGATATATTATATAGATACACATGTGCATTACAGAAGGAGCGAAAGGAACCTTTTCGGCATGTCTGTGACAAAGCGTAGTCTGCCTGTCCATTCCCCACTTTAATCGGTGCAGAAGGTCCCTCTGTATTCTGATCCTGAGGTTTCATGTATAGCAGGTATGAAATCTCCAGAGGAGTATGCATAAAAACTAAAAGTGTAGAAGCTGCATGTGATATGTTGCAGCAAGTATCAGAGAAACCCATTCTCCAAGGATGAATCTAATGGTGCAATAAAGCGAGATAGCAGAATTCATATTGGGGGAGATATCTGGAAGGGGGAGCTATTAGCAGGCGAAGTGGGGGAAGATGGAAACAGATGATACTAGGTCACGAGAAACTGAAGCAGAGGTCAAAGTCTGTCTGACCAGCCAAGCACGTTTTACTCATACAGTAATGCTAAAGTATGATGTCTTTAGACAACTTGGTTTTCTTAGGTTTTGACTGATTAGTAAAATTATTCTACTTTTTCTTTGAGTTTGTGGTAGTGTTATTTTGAGAGCTACCCAGCCAACTTAGGCAAATGTACATTAATCTTCTGGTCTCTGTTTTCTTCTTTCCCCACTGGGATAATGGGAAGAGCCCTGGACTGTGTCCTGGAGATGGGCCATCCCAGTCGTTAGTTCCTCTCGTAACACATAGTACAGACCAGGGTCTACTGTCTGAGCACCAACTTCCTCAGTGTTGCAAGAAGAAGGTTGCAGTTCAAAGTCCCTTCCAGCCCACTATTGTGCAGCTCTTTGTCCCACTGTCCACTGTGGCACAGTGTTGTACATCCTGAGGAATCCTCCCTTACAATTGCTTATGATAGGCGATTGCTCTAGCCAATGAGAATGGGGACAAGTTAGAGTTCCCTGTGCAGGAAGTTAAAAGAGAAATTGGTTTGGGCTAAGATTCCCTTGGAAGGGACCTTGGCGATAACTCCTCCAAATTTTACAGATAAGGAAATTCAGACCCAGAAAACACAAGGACCTGCCTGAGCTCATACAGCAGGTTAAAATTCATTCTAGCTGAATCCTCCTTCCCCTCCTCCATGCTGGTGTGCCTTTGCTCTTGTGCTCTCATTTTCTCTCTTTTATAAGAATAACAGAGATTGGTGAGTCTTCAACAAGAGAGGCAAGGAAATCCTTTCCTATATGTTTCCATAAACATCTGATTAGTTGTACAATTTGTGTGGCCTGAATGTTGAGTACACGTGGAGGCACAATGGGGCTAGGTGTGGAGATGCTGCATTGGTTTTCTATTGCTCTGTAATGAATTACCACAGTGGTAATAAACTAGTTTAGTGGTAATAAAGTGGTTTAGTGGCTTAAAACACCCATTCATTAGTTTACAGTTCTCCACGTCGGAAGTCTGGGCATAGCTTGACTGGGTTCTCCGCTCAGGATCTCCCTAAAAGTCAGGCTCAGGCCATGTTCTCATCTAGAGCTCCGCATCCTCTTCCAAGCTCATACGGTTGTGGCAGGATGCAGTTCTCTGTGGTGGTAGGACTGAGGTCTCCGTTTCCTTGCTGGCTGTCAGCTGGGGCTGCTCTCTACTCCTAGTGACCTGGTGGTCTTCCTCTTTTCTTGCCACATGGTTGCCTCCGTCTTCAAAGCCAGTAGAGAATCTGCCTTCCATCAAACCCCTTTCATGCTTAGAATCTCCTTCCCCAGGAAGAGCCCCGTCTGTTTTAAGGACTGACCTAATTAGGTTGGGAACACCCAGATAATCTCCCTATCTTATGGTCAACTGATTTGGACCTTAATTACATCTGCAAAATCTCTTCCCAGCAGTACCTAGATTAGTGTTTGCTTCAATAGCTTGAAGAAGGTGTGTGTCCACCAGCCGGGGCAGGAACCTTGGGGCCATCTTAGACTCCTGCCTTCTGAAGAGGCCATGTGAGAGCAAAGTGTGAAATGCTTGGAGGCCTTCTCTTCACCTGAAGGTCTTTAAGTCGGAATGCACCATGATTAAAGAGCTATGTCTTAGTAGGTTGGAGCAGGGACACACTGGAGGTCAGTGAGGAAGCTGAGGGCCTGGATCAGGGTGGAGTCTTTGGGAAGGATGAGAAAGCCACAAATGTGGGAGACATTTGGCAAGTGATTTGAAGGGGGTGAGATGATTGAGGGGAAAAAGTGGTCAGAAAGGTAACTTGTTGTTTCAAGGCTGCTGACTAGAAGATGATCAGCCAGAGGAAGCTATGGAATCGGGATAATGAGAGATGGGATTTGTGGTTTGAGCATCATCTTTATTTGCATCAGTTTCATGATCCACAGATTAGTCCGTAAAAGAAAAGAAGGTCTCTCTGGTTGCCTCTAAGTGTGCCATAAATAGAGAGTTTTCTCCAGAAATTGTTTCAGAGGCTCCTTTTTTAGTCCAGGTCTCTCCCTGCAGACATCAAGTTGGAGTTTGGACCAGGTCTCTGAAGCTCCTCCCATCTCTATTGGTCTGCGATTCTGTGATTCCATTACTAGAATAAAATGGAGAGATTTTCTTTTGATGGTAAAAATATCAGTGTTTGCTCCAGATATGATTGTCTTACTCATGAGAACTTGACCACCTTTATCATTTTGTTTCTTTTTTCTGTTGGAAATAACTTTGCCGTCAGTATGATGTAACATATCTGTGTGCCAGCTAAACCTGCTGAAGGGAGGGGATTGTGTTCTCCCTGCTGCTTGGTTAGCGCTGGTTAAATATTTTGCCTTCTGGCAGTGTGTGTGTTTGTAGAATGGCTGGATTTAGCAAGTAATTCGTAACTTCTGGTGTATGACTTTCTGGGTGAACAAATAGAGAAGCTAAAATGTCATCTTTAATTACTAATTTCTTAATTAGCCATTCTTAATTGGGAAGTGATTAATACTGACTTAATTAGAGTGAACCGTCTGAGCGGGTACATGAAGGAAGGGGGGGGGATCACCCTGGAGCATCCTCCCCTTCCATGGAAACCTGATGGTATAAAAAGCTGCCCATCCATCCATGGTCTGCATCCTGCTCAAACCATGGTGGAAAATTAAATGCGTTTTTCTGTGAAAATTCACCTGACCGTAGAAATACCTTTCTTTCCACTTCGAGACAGAAGAACTAGATTGGAAAAATAGAACATTTTGGCTGAGCAGAGGGTTTTTTTAAAAAACATTTTACTGATATACAACATGTGTACAGAGACAAGCATATAGTTCAATGGATTTTCACACACCGAATACTCCCGTGTCATGAGTACCCAGATTTTTAAAAACAACATTATCAATCCACTAGGAGTGCCTTTTCTGTTCTCCTTTAGTCATTGCCCCTCCAAAGGTAACTATAATTAGAAATAAAACATTGACGTTTAAGCTAACTTTGAACAGAATAGGTTAGCTTTGTTGGTTTGATGTTCTGTATAAATGGAACCATGTACTTGTGTGTCTGGCTTACTGAACATTGTGAGATTTATGCCTATTATTGAAATGTACTTGTGACTAGAAGGCAGTTTTCCATTATCCAGCTTTTAAAACATCAAACTATTGAACAGATTGATGAATTATGAGTTGGTTTTTTTAATATGAAAATATAGCGAAGGTGAAGTAAACATACTCTTCTAGAGGGAAGAGAAACTGGTACAACCCTTTTGGAAAACAAATGAGTAATATGTAACTAATAGGCTTAAAAATTATCAGTATTCTCTTGCTCATATTTCCCTACTAGGAAGCTATCCTTAGAAAATAAAGACAGGAGAACCTTTACACACATACAAAATGGTTATTACAATGTTATTGTTGAGGACAAAAAATTTTGGAAATAAACTAAGTGTCTGTACCAGGAAATGGTGATATGATATGTTTACTTTCTTTAAAATAATGTTTAGAGAGAATTTTGAAAGCTATGGCAACATGCTCGAAATATAATGTTAAAATAATCAGACTGTAGATGTATATTCAGTGTGATAGACACTCTTACAGAAATGGGCTTTTTCTAAAGGACTGGATGGGATTATAACAACATGTCAATAGTGGTGTTTTTCCTTTGGATGATGGGATTATGGGAATTGTTTTCCTGTTCTTGGATATTTATTTTTAACTTCTAGTTTATATTACTCTTTATAATTAGAAATAACACTGTAAACTTTAAAAAGTGTTAGTGGTGGCATACGCCTTCAGAATCAGTGACTCAGGGGCTGGCGCCGTGGCCGAGTGGTTAGGTTTGTGCGCTCCACTTCAGTGGTCCAGGGTTTCACCAGTTTGAATCCTGGGCGTGGACATAGCACCACTCATCAGGCCTTGCTGAGGCGGCGTCCAACATGCCACAGCTAGAAGGACGTACAATTAAAATATATACAACTATGTACTGGGGGCTTTGGGGAGAAAAAGGAAAAAATTAAAATCTTAAAAAAAATTATTTAAAAAAAAAGAATCAATGACTTGTTTTCTTGGGGATGTTTTGGGCTTTGTGAGACATCCTCATCCCCCATTTAAATGAAGCTCAGTGGTGAACTCTTGGTGGTGACCTCTGCTGTTGTCCTTACAGCTTTTCTGGTTCTTTCTCCTGCTTCTTTTGTTAGGTCAGCTCAACTACCAGGCGGCCTCCCCTGACGAAGGCGCCCTCGTAAGCGCCGCCAGGAACTTCGGCTTTACCTTCCTGGCCAGGACCCAGAACACCATCACCATCAGTGAGATGGGCACTGAGAAGACCTACAGTGTTCTCGCCATTTTAGACTTCAACAGTGACCGGAAGCGGATGTCTATAATTGGTAGGTCTCCCTCAGAGTATGTCTGTGAATCATTTCATTCATTTAGATGCTGCCTTTCGCATATTTTATTTAGTGATGCCAGGGTAAAGGAGGCGATGAATGAACCACTTGGCTCCTGGAAGATTTCCACAGACTTATTGAAACTAGTGTTTTCTTTCCTTCATTCTGCGCGATATCTGTCGCTCAAAGGGACAACTGCAGTCTCTGAATCTTGCAGATGTTGACGTCCTTCAACAACATGGGCTGCCAGCTGCTGAATCTGGGGTGGCAGCAGAGTGGGTGGTAGACCCACAACATGTGCTTTTATTTTGTGAGCCCCCCTGAGCACCTCTGTTCTACACTCGATGTCAGACAAGGCAGTATGCAGCAGGAGAGGAGTTCTGAGAAAAGTTAAGGCTGTGCTTGCGAATCAAAATCGTACCTCCGGTCCAGGCACGTTACAACAGGCCACCAAGCGGAGATGATGATCTCTTCCTAATACTGAATTGTTTTAAGTTCACAATTTGAAATAATTTCAAACTTACAGAAAAATTGCAAGAATGATTTAAAGAACTCCTGTATATTCTTCCATATCCACCCATTAGCCTTGGCCACATACTCTTTGCCCTTTTCATCATATACAGGTTCTTGTTTTCTGAACCATTTGCGAATAAATTGCAGATCTAATGTCCCTTCCCCTAAATAGTAGATGTTTCCTAAGAACAGGAACAGTCACTTCTATATACAATGTGATGATCAGAATCAGAAGATTTAACATGGTACATCATTATTATATAATCTATAGAACATTTTTCAAATTTTACCAGGAATTTTTTTTTCTTTCTATTTTCTGGTTCAGGATCCAACTCAAGATTACACATTGCATTACATGATCAATACATGATCAATACATGATCAATACATGCCTGGGACAGTTCCTCAGCAGGGTTTTGATCTTTCATACTTTGACGTTTTTGAAAAGCACAGGCTGGTTATTTTGTGTCAAGTCCCTCAATTTGGATTTGTCCGATGTTCCCTCATGATTAGACTCAGGTGATACATTATTGGCAGGATGAGCACAGAGATGAGGCTGCATTCTCCCCAGCACATCGCATCAGAAGGCTCACCATCATTGGCCATGTTAGCTTTGATCACTCAGTTAGGTGGTGTCCACAAGATTTCTCCGCTGTGAGATTGAATTTTTAACCAATAAAAATATACATGTTTCAAATACGTGGAGAAAGAGATCAGACTAAGGGTTACCAGAGGGGAAAGGGGCTGAGGGTTGGGAATAAGGGATAAAGGTGTACATATATATGGTGACAGACAAATAACAATGTACAACTGAAATTTCACAGTGTTATAAATTACTATGACTTCAATAAAAATAAAATAAAATAAATAATATATGTTTAACTGTCTACTGAACTCTGAGTAGGCTCATTTTACTGAGCACTTTCCGTGTGGCTAGCACTGATCTAGGTTGATTATCATGCCTGGCATCTCTGTGGGAGAACTTAAAATCTCGTTAGCTATGAGGCACATACTATAGTTAAGTTACTGCACAGATCAAACAATCCAAGAAAATGTTCACAAGGAGACATGTGATGGTCTGAATATTAAAGGCAGTGTGTTATGGGTTTATAGGTAAGAAAGATTCCTGTGGCGGGGACAAAGAAGGCTGCATGGAAGAGAGTAACTAGCACAGGGCGTGGCACACAATAGGGAGTCAGTAAGTATTTGCTGAAAGAATAAGTCAAGATATGAGCAGACAGGAAATCTTTTCATATTTATTTCACTATCACGTCATATGTAGATACTGGCTTACCAGCTTTGTCGAGAGCAAAGTTTTTCTAGGTGCATTGATGATCTTAAACTAATAGTGAATTATTTGCATAGTAACACTTAATTAACTTGTTAAATGTAATTTTCTATTAAGAAATCAAACCTAACTTTATTGTTTGCTTTTCCTTCTCTTGCTACTAGTAAGAACCCCAGAAGGCAATATCAGGCTTTATTGTAAAGGGGCTGACACTGTAATTTATGAACGGTTACATCAAATGAATCCTACAAAGCAAGAGACACAGGATGCCCTGGATGTAAGTCTCACTTTCACTCTTTGTGCCACAGATTCCAGACTCACTTTCTGGTACTATCTCTTAATCTTGAGTGAAAGCTTTGTGTTAACTGTTGACCCCTCCCTTGTCCTGAGGCAGTTGAATGGAAAGAGCACCAAAGTAGGAATATGGCAGGCTGGTTCTGGTTCTGGTTCTGCCCCTGCCTTCACATGCCCTTTCCCAGCATCCCAGGTTGGCAGGATCTGCAGGACTGGTCCAGAGGAATGACTGGTCTCTCTTCCAGTGACCTTGAGCAAGCTACATAACCATACTGTGCTGTAGTCTTAATATTTGTGTCACTCCCAAGAATTCCACCAACCTCCTAGTATATAGTGAAGGAAAGAAAGCATATTCATATATGACAGGGCGCGACAAAGCAATGCATTGGACGGTTGAGTTCTGATACCTTTGCTAGTGAATCACTTTGGTCTTCATTACTTCAAACTTGTTATTTTAGGGACCTGTATGTACTTAGTCCAAGGATATTGCAATTACTCAGAATATTTCTGGAAATTTCCCTTTTGGAATTGCCTACCATTCCTCCTATTGTTTTGGTTCACTATAATGATGGCAGTGAAGTATAGTGGATATCCATCTGGCCTGGTGTCCCAGTTCTGCCTCTTTGCTTGTTTTGTGCCCTTGAGGGACATGGTTGTTGTCTCAGATGAATCATTAATTGCCTGTGTGAAAGAGGAAGAGGATAATTCCTATCCTGGAGGGTTGTTGCAAGGGAAAGCATCTTGTACAGTTTCCAGGACTTAGTAGATGCTTAGTAAAGGGTGGTTTCTTCCCTTCACTTTAAGCAGCTGATTGAGTTTTGAGGCCAGCAAACCTTCTTCAGAAAGAACCCTGACGAATTTGCTGTTTACTAAGTGTGGGGTCACATTTTAGGGTTATATATGTTGCTGAAGCAGTTACAATGGATAATTTCTCATGAGGATATGAACTGTGGCAGTCTAATCAAATACATGCAGAACCTTCCAAAGAATCTTTGAAAGTGAACGTGTAGTTGGGTGAACCAGTTCTACCATCTTGGCTAAACAAGATATGATTGTAAAGTAATAAAACATATTTACTGGTTTATAGTTAAGTGATTTAAAATGGCTTAAATCTGTTCATCGTGATTAAATTTCCCAGAGACTCTTTTTAATTAAAATGTTTGATCTCAGCTTTGACAGTGGCTCATGTATTTCAGAATTGGCTTGAGGAAATAATACTTGGTTGAGAGTTCATAGTTGATTGGACTTATAACACAGTTTGTGAGAACAAATTATAGTTGTCTGTGTTTACAATGTCATTACACTCCAAGGCAGCTCCCTTCATCTGTTATTTTAAGAGAAAAAGGTTTTCTTCACTTTAGTGACTTGATTTAGAAGAAAGGCCTACTTACCCTTTTAACTAATTTGGGAACTGTAAATACGCTCCTACGATCCTCAGAATATTTAAGAAAACAAAGTATTTGTTTAATCTCCTCTACAGAATGTATTTGTACAGAATTCATCATCTTTCACAGTCTCTTTTTTTTTAAATTCTCTTACTGTATTACTTCAAATTAAGATTTCAAACTTGATGTTGAATTACATAAAATTAACTCTTCGTTGGGTGGATGGATTGTCTTTTAAATAAAACAGATCTTTGCAAGTGAGACTCTTCGAACCCTGTGCCTTTGCTACAAGGAAATTGAAGAAAGAGAATTTGAAGAATGGAATAAAAAGTTTGTGGCTGCCAGCTTAGCCTCAACTAACCGGGATGAAGCTCTGGATAAAGTGTATGAGGAGATTGAAAAAGACTTAATTGTGAGTTTTAACCTTTGTAACTTTTTCCTTGATATTCTAACCAGAATTGGAAATTTTATTGTTTTATCACAGTTTTGATCTCATGCTTGAAAGATAATTCTAACTTCAGCATTTGAAATTGGTACAGTGGAACTAGGTCATTAGAATTCTTTTTTTTGTTTGTTTTTTTGAGGAAGATTAGCCCTGAACTAACATCTGCTGCCAATCCTCCTCTTTTTGCTGAGGAAGACTGGCCCTGAGCTAACATCTGTGCCCATCCCTCCTCCTCTACTTTACATGTGGGACGCCTGCCACAGCATGGCTTGCCAAGCGGTGCCATGTCCGCACCCAGGATCCAAACTGGTGAACCCCGGGCCACTGAAGCAGAACGTGCGCACTTAACCACTGTGCCACCGGGCCAGCCCCTAGAATTCCTTTTTGTTCAACAAGCAAAATAGAAGTTGCCATTATGAGAAACCAAAAGACAGAAAACATGATTCTGATTTTTATGATTAAGTGGTTTTTATATCACTTATTAAAATTCATTATGATTTTTACATAGCAAACCAGCATATACTTATTACATTGTGAGAATTACTGAAACAATTTATATTTTGCAAAATCTTGAAACAAAAAAAATATACCGTTGGTAAATGAAGTTTTTCAAAGTTTAATACTTATTGCTTGTAGAGTTAAAATTAATGGGAAATGTTCAACAAATAGCTACTTTTCACTTTCAGCAAGAGAAATTGGCTTATGTTCGAGTAAAGTAGCATATATACAGTGCAAGTGTGTTTTTAACGTCCTTGATTTTGTACTTCCATTTTTGTCTTGGTAAATTACTTTAAGAAAAAAGTTCGGGGCTATTTTAGCTTGTAGTGAGCATGAAACACGGCAGCCTTCCCCGTCAATGCCGGCCGTCGGCCCCCATAGAACACCAACTGGGCCATGTAATTAGCCCTTCTTCCTTTGGTAGGTTGGCAGACTGAAATTGTGGAACATTTTTGGGTTATTTGCTAATTCCTTTTTTTAAATATACATTCCAGCTGTTGGGAGCTACAGCTATTGAAGACAAGCTACAGGATGGAGTCCCAGAAACCATTTCAAAACTTGGAAAAGCTGACGTTAAGATCTGGGTACTTACTGGAGACAAAAAGGGTAATCCATTGTGTAGGGAATTATATCTGTTCACCGACAAATATTCATAGCTCCTGTCTCCCTTGCCCAGGATGACCTTCTCAGACTTCCAACTTGTGCAAACGCTATCCATTTCTTTGAGACGAGACACTCTCCCTAAGAAGCCCTTCTCTGTTATTCCAGCCCGCCCTGACTGCATCCTTCCCCAAACCCCCTCCGGAGCAGAGTTTATTCCTTTTAATTGAGCTCCTGGTCGCATCTTTCTGGTTGTGATTAGTCGTCTTCTCCAGCCAGACATGGGCTCTGTCCTGAAGGGCCATCCTTCCCGTCCCTTCTGCCTCCCCAGCACTGTGCCATTTCTTGGGCATAGAGCAGAACAATACCAAATGCTGGACGACAACTTTTGTTTTCTTGCCCATTTTATTCGTTGAAAATTATAATTAAAATTTTATACCCAAGGGAAGATTTTAATTTTTTAAGTTTAGAACTCAACAAGGAGTTGTTTGGCATTGATACTTTATGCCACAAGCCACCCATGGGAAACCAGAGAATTTCTCTTACTCTGACTGACATTGTTAGTAGGTTACACACTCTGATAAGCTTAGGAAATCCTGACTTTAGACAAATACCAGTGGGTGGTGATGGAAAAAGAGAAAACATCTCCAGTAGGAGCCCCATGTGAGGGCTTATGGAAGTGGTTATCCTTTTTTTCCCTTGGAATGGAATGATTAAACCACAGGAACTAAATGTGTTTACTATTTCAATGGATTTATTAAATAACCAGTTTATGTATTTGATATTGTAGCACATTTCACTATTGAAAACATCTCAAACCAGACTTTGACTTACACTTATTTTATTACAGAGAAAGGGATTTTTTTTCTTTATGTGATTTCTATACCTTGCTATAAAAAACAAGCATGTTTGAATCTGGCTATTTCATTAATAGAAAAAAAATCATCATTACTAGGTAAAGTTGATTATTAAATTCATCAGTCATAACAACATTTGACTTAATTTTTTTCTGTTGTAGAAACTGCTGAAAATATAGGATTTGCTTGTGAGCTTCTCACTGAAGACACCACTATCTACTATGGGGAAGATATAAGGTACGTAAAGGGCCTGCTGTGGCGGAATATGTTGTGTCTTATTTTTATAAAGGCATGGCTGGATGCGGTAGACACAGCGCATGTGGAGAAGCGGACGCTAGAATGTCACTTTCGTTTCCTCTGATTTCAATGAAGCGAGAGAACAATAGGCAGTTCTTAGTTACCATGGTTTGGCCTTATTTTGAGCAAATCTTAGTTTTAGGGAAACTGGGGGCTTTTATTGGCCCTTCAGGGGCCATTTTTCTCTGTTAAAAGCCCTCAGTGCTTGTCTGCTGAAAAAGGAATTGGGCCTGAGACATCACTAACAAATTAATATGAATTATATTCATGTATTGCCTTTTCTGGGAATTTTAACTTTTGAAAGGAAATTAGAAGAAAAAACCCACGCAGTCCTGCCTGGAAGAAAACATTTGGGTGGGTTATATCTGTAGTCTTGTCTGCATGGGGCAGGCCTGATATCTCAACAGTTGGCTCGTGCTAAAACACTCGTTAGCCCTGAATCGGAGTCACAACAGACCTGGAAATGAGTAGGGAAAAGGCCCTGTCTTGTTATGAAGCTGGAACTGTGCTCCACACAGTTGCCAGGATACATTTCCCAGTGCCTTGACAGTTCCATTTATTCCTCAAGGCTTTTCCTTATGAGCCTCCCTCAGGCTGTCACAAGGCCAAATTAAACTGTTAACATACACACTTGCCTAGTCTGGTAAGATGATGGGGGAGCTGATGTTTATTAGTCTTCTTTCTACTGATGATGCTAGAGCTTTTGCGAGTACTTCCAGGATATTAGGCACTCTGCGAAATTAAACAAAATCAGTAGCCTTATAATTGAAATAGATCCATTCTCTCTGAGTGGAGATATGTAAACCATGCCTCTTTGTGCTTACAGATTTTAAAAAATAGAAATAGACAAATAAATACTAATATGTTTACTTAAGTAGTTTCTTGGTTTCAAGTAATTTGGTTAATTACCTCATGGTTTGGTTTATTTCTTGTAGATAGAGGCCTTAATAAATTTCTGGTCTCTCTTTTGAAAGTGTTGAAAATTTGGCCCTGAGATAAATTAGAAGATAAAATTTATGCAAGTAGCAAATTTTATGATCATTCTCTTAGCTCAGTTTACCTTTATAGAGAGATGAATCATCCTTTAGGTAGTTCCCGAAAGGGTGATTTCTGTAGAAGGGTTTGACTGAATAACTTCATATTTTTCTCTTCCAGGCTTTTAGTGATAGGTCTTGAAATTCCTTGTTTTCAACTTGGAAATGAGAATTAAATTAACAGGCAGAAGGATAGTAGATACCTAATTCTCTAGTGCAGTCGTTCTCAACGGGGGCTATTTTGCCTTCCAGGCAACATCTGGCAATGTCTGGAGACATCTTTGGTTGTCACAGTGGGGGAGAAGGGATGCTGCTGGGTTCTAATGGGTAGAGGTCAGGGATGCTGCTAAACATCCTACAATCCAACGGACAGCCACATACAACAAAGAATGATTTGGCTCGAGACATCAATAGTGCCAAGGTTGAGATACCTGCTCTTGAAGGTGAAAAATAATGGTTCTGTGTGTGTAATGAGGGAAGCCCAAGGCTGAGAGTTAAGACACCTGAGTCTTCATTCCAGTTTTCCTGTCAACTTGCTGCAGCAAATTGCATCATCTCTCCTGGGCTTGATTTCCTTATTTGTAACACAAAGAGATTGGATAAGATATTTACAGTCCCTTCTACTCCAAAATGCTACGACTCATTTTTCTATCACGTGAAGGTGTTATATGTGGTCTTCTCAATAATGCATTGATGTAAAGCTCTGAGAATTTCTAAGATCTTTATGTGGAAATAAAACAGAAGCCACTGTTTATAATATAGTAGGGGTCACTCCAGTGTGTTATAATTCAGATTAGGATCGCCTTTCTTCAGTTGCTTGTGAACACATTTCCAACTGTTTCTTCCTTTAGCTGTCTTTGGCAAATAACGAAGCACCAGGAACATGGTACCCCCATGGTGGAGGAATCCAGACTTAGTAAGATCATATGTCATCCAAGTAAAACATGAGCAAAGGACTTGACCAGACATTTCTCCAAAGACGATATACAAATGGCCAACAAGCATATGAACTGATGCTCAGCATCACTAATCGTTAGGGAAATGCAAATTAAAACCACAGTAAGATATCACCTCACACCCACGAGATGGCTACTAACAAAAAAACCCAGAAAATAACGAGTGTGGGCAAGGATATGGAGAAATTGAAACTCTTGTGCACTGTTTGTGGGAATGTAATGTGGTATAGCCACTGTGGAAAATAGTATGGTGGTTCCTCAAAAAAATTAAAAAATTACCATGCCAGCAATCCCACTTCTGGGTCTATACCCCAAAGAATTGAAAGCAGGGACTCGAACAGATATTTGCACACCCACGTTCATAGCAGCACTATTAACAATAGCCAAGAGGTAGAAGCAACCCAGTGTCCATCGGTTGATGAATGAATAAACAAAATGTTGTATAGCCATACAATGGCGTACTGCTCACCTTTAAAAAGGAGGGAAATACTATCCCATGCTACAACATGGAGGAATCTCGAGGACATGTTAAGTGAAATAAGCCAGTCACAAAAAGACAAATACTGTATGATTCCACATATGAGCTATCTAGAATAGTCGAATTCATAGAAACAGAAAGTAGAGTGGTGGGTACCAGGGACTGGGGGCCTGGAAATAGGGAGCTGTTATTTAATGGGTATAGAGTTTCCGTTTTGAGAGATGAAAGTGTTCTAGTAATTGTTACACAACAATGTGAATATACATAATATTACTGAACTATGCACTTGGAAATAGTTAAGAAGATAAATTTTATGTAATGTGTTTTTTACCACAATTTTAAAAAGAGATTCTAAGTCAAAATTATCTCACAGTCAAAGGCCTGTTTATAGTCTCGTACTTTAAACACTTAAATTTCTTTTTCCCTAGTGCTCTTCTTCAAACAAGGATGGAAAACCAGAGGAACAGAAGTGGAGTCTATGCAAAATTTGTAGCCCCGGTGCACGAACCCTTTTTTCCACCTGGCGGAAACCGTGCCTTAATAATCACTGGTTCGTGGTTGGTATGTATCATTAGTGTACCTGTGCCTTTGGCTCAAACTAAAGCAGTTCATTATGGAACAATTTTAGACCGTTTTCCTTATTAACTGCCAACCTGAAGATCTTGGTCTATAAATGATAGTGTGATTTCCCAAGTTTGAGACTTGTTATAAGATATATGAAAGGAATTATACCAAACTGGTAACAGTGCCTACACCTGGTTTATCAATTAGTGGATAATTTTAATTTTCTTCTTTGTACATTGTTGTATTTTCTAAACTTTTATAGTAAGTATGTTGTATAATCAGAACAATATAATCAATGATATAACCCAAGAATTATCCTTCACATAATCAAAGTCTTGGGAATGGTATTCTTGATAGAAAAACCAAAATGGTTTAATCCTTTCCCTCTCTGACTTCATAGAATGAGATTCTTCTAGAGAAAAAGACCAAAAGAAGTAAGATTCTGAAGCTGAAGTTCCCCAGGACAGAAGAAGAAAGACGAATGCGGACGCAAAGTAAAAGGAGGCTGGAAGCTAAAAAAGAGCAGCAGCAGCAGAACTTTGTGGATCTGGCCTGCGAGTGCAGCGCAGTCATCTGCTGCCGGGTCACCCCCAAGCAGAAGGCGATGGTGGTGGACCTGGTGAAGAGGTACAAGAAAGCCATCACACTGGCGATCGGAGACGGGGCCAATGACGTCAACATGATCAAAAGTGAGTCTCGTGCAGGCAGCCAGTGCAACCTGACTTGCTAAGAGAAGAAACGGCAGGAACGTTTTTGGGGGTAGTTTTTTCAGATTTCATTGCTTAAGCTTTCATAAAGCAGACATTTAATAAAGGTACTTAACCATGATGGGTACACCTGTGACCCTGCCCTCAGGAGGTTTACAGTCCTTCCAGTAGGAAAGAGCAGGCATGGCAGGGCTATTCATAGAATGCCAAGTAGAAGACGAGTTCCATATGGGAGAATTGATCCTTCTTTGTTTCCTTCTTTTTACAAATGTTTGGATTTTTTTTTCCTCTTGCTGCTTCTCCTCCCATATTTCTTTGGGGCTTATTAAAAATCTTGCTATTTAATGAGTTTTGTTAAAAATTCTGCTGAGCTTGGCATAAATTGTTGAACTCTCCCTGGTGTTTGTTTTGGGAATGTTATTCTCCCTCACCTAAGGGTCTTTCTGTGGGGCTTTCTTGCCTTTGGTAGATCTGTTAGAACTTCCCCATTGGGTGAACTAGGCTGAGCTCAGTGACATCTTTGGCATTGAAGCAGAGCTCCATCCTCCTGACCTCCCCAGAAGACTGCCAAGGGTTGTTTTGCTGATTGGAGGACCCTAGGTTCCCACAAATTAAAGGACTGAGTCCTATCATGCAGAACTACAGTTGTGCTGGAATTAAAGCAGGCAGATCCAAACCCTCATCAACATGTCTGAATCCTGGTCCTTTTTTTCTCTCTATACTACTATTAGGGAGTATCTTGTAAGGAAAATGCCCAAACTAGTGAGACCTAAACACTTGTCCTCATCTTACTGCCAACATACTGTGTCACCTTGGTCTTATGCTCGGGCCTGTTTTCTCATCTGAAAACAAGAAAATTGTGTCCGACGTCACCTACAGCTTTGTGATATTGTTAAGATGAACTGTTACATGACTACAGTGTATGCGCATGTCCTGTGGTGCTGGGTGGTTTAAATGCATTATGTATAACTAGGTTTTAATTCAGCCTATTTTTGTAACTCATGCATCTGTCTCTTTCTTTTCTTAGAGTATCTTCCTCCTCCTTGATATAGAGAATATTCCAACTTTTCTTCCTCAGCAGGAGTCAGCTCTATGATGTACGTCTTCTTCCTTATCATGAGTACGTCTGTCGCCACTGCCAGCTTAATTCCTCTCCACTCTGTTTTGCACATGCTCGTCCTACCATACAAATGACGTTTCTTGCTCAGAATTAGATCTGCTTCTTACCTCTGTAGCCAGTACTAGTTTATTTTCCATTGTGTATCCTTAAGGGCAAGGAACTCAAACATTATTTTTATTCAGTTATAATGTAGACTTCTAGATGTTGGATTGGGGGGCCATTACCTTGCAGATTTACCATCTGATTATATAACTTGGACTTGAAAATATTTTTCTTCCTCTGAGTTCACCAGCTGATAGTGAAAAGGATCACAAAAAGTCAAAATAGATAACTTTATAGAGACTTGTTTTTCTTAAGTTGTCTTAACAATTTTATTAAGCTCTGTTGTGTGGCAAGTGCTTTTATATATAAACTACAGAGCATCCATTTGGCACACAAATCAAGGAATCTCTGAGGTCTCTTTGGAAGTCAGTAGCTTTATCCAAGTATTGTTAGTGCCTATTTGTACTTTAATCTCTTTCAACTATCATCTCTTTCAACAGCATCAAGAACATTATACAGAAAGAAATTGTTTGTTGTTTATAAAGAAGTAGAGTGAAATTTAAGTGTCAAAAAGAATCTGACCATTTGCTAACATGTTTCATGTTTAGCAGTGTTCTCCAGTAGAAGTGGAGGGCCTTGCAACCCACCACATTTTTGTGCCCAGCGAGGATCTAAGGACTCGCATAAGCTACCCTCCCCCTCTCTTGTGCCTAAAGATGTCTACTGGCTGGTGGGTGTTTTGTTTGTTGGTCTAAAACCTTAAGAATGAACAAGCAGCATGTGAGAGGTGAGACTGAGGCAGAAAGCCTTGAGGAAATGATGGGTTTGTTAAGGAATTATGAAGGAGCCTACCAATGAGGCATCTGAAACCACATTTGGAACTTCTGGAAAGTCTAGGTGCCTATATTTAGATTTTTGGGAAAAAACAGTGTGGCCTTATAAAGTGCATTTGTTCAGTTGCCTTGAATCACCTGTGAACTTCGACAGTGTTCATTGCACATACTGTCCTTGGTCTGCTCAGCAGAAAGGTTGGAATGGATGCCAGGGCCCGTGGCAGTGTTTCCTGTTCCTTGGCTCCAGCAGAATCGCCACATTTCCCTCCGTTGCTTGTTCAGGAAAGAAGGCCATGGTTTGGTGGAAAGAGCAGTTTGGCAACCACAACTAGTCATTAGTATTTGTGTTTTGAAATCGGTCATAAATATTGAATGAGATGCAATTTATTCTGTTTTTGAGAATTGCAAAGTGTTATTGAAAACTTAGGTTTGGACAAGTTGCTGTGCTGTGTTTTGAATTTGCCAGACCTTGTGTTCTGCAACTGGGCGGGATTTTTGGAGCTTCTTTTAGTTGGAAACTCTGCTGAGTTGGCAGTGACTTCTCAGGGTCTGAGTAATAATAGGTTGTGTTCTCCAGCATATGTTCTCTAAATCATCTCAATATCTGTCTTCACTTCCATGACTTTTAAGACCTAGACAAAATTCGTAATTCTCTAAGTCGAAAATGTGATTTAATGACTATTGGAAGGATGGATGGAATTGTCTTTTCATTTTTATCCATCCTGGAAGCTTTCCCTCCTGCAAAAAATTGCATGCCTTAAAGTCATGGTGGGCCATGAATAAGCCTTTTAAAGTTTAATAGTATCTTAGTTAAAACTTTTGATTATATGTGTTGGAGAACAACCAAAGCTAACTTATGACAAAACTAAATTTATTTTAAAAGCTACAAATATGTCCCATGCTGCCCAAGAAACCAGGCCTGAGAAGATGCTGGAACCAGGACTTGAAACTGCACCAGGAACCCAGTGTCTGTCTGTCTCTCTCTCTGTCTCTGGGTTACTTTATTTCTCTGCCTCTCAGAACCCCTCAGAAAGAAATATATCCATGCCATACCTCAGTAATTTACATGTTAAAGTTCCAAACACAAACACCCAAATCCTAATTCCAGATGCTGAGAGAGAGACTGACTGGCCCAGCTTGAGTTTTCTATCAATCAGAGTGTAATACAGGAAACAGACACCTTTAGGTACTTGAAGCAGGAAATGATTAATACAGGGGGCTGGGTGCTCATAAAAGCTCTGGATGGACTGAAGAAGCAGAGTGTCTAATGTCTGGGTCACTCACCAGAGGAGCTTCTAGCTTTGAGGGTCCTCTGAAGAGCTTTTCAATTGAGAAGGCTTTGCAGTTGTCTACCAACATCTGGCAACTGGACAATGGATATGAACTCTGCTGCAGAAATGCCAAAAAGGGAAGTGATGCTGGACTTCAATTCACTTCTGCTTCTAAGTCACAAGTAGGAAGAAACAGTGGAACTTAAATCACAAAGAGACTCTAGCTGCCAGGGAGTCTGGACAACGTAGGGCTTTTATTTGCTTCCCCACCTCTCCAGTTAGAACAAGGATGGAGTGAAGGTTGAGAGAGCCAATTCGTAGTATCTACCTCAGATTACATATCTGCTCAGGGCTGACTCAGCTGTGCCCAGGAAGGCAGGGAAACACAGTTCATGTGGGTGCCTGGGGCTCACCCTGTGGGTGGGAAAGATAGCTTAAGAGCTGAGCAGATAATCCAAATGGAATTCACCACCCACCTGAGATCCGTTCACATTTATGGAGGCCCAACCATGTGCTCTGTTTAGCAACTTGTACCTCTGCCTTTGAGTTCAGAAACTGGGGGTGGGGGATAGAGAGCAGGAGTTTTCATATTTATTGTTCCATCAATGTCTGCCTTTGTTCTTTGTTTTGCTATGGAAACATTTTTATCATCTCAATGTTTTGTCTTAAAATAGGCTTATGATTCACAATATCTTCTCCCTCTGCCCCATAGCTGCCCACATTGGTGTTGGAATAAGTGGACAAGAAGGTATGCAAGCCGTCATGTCAAGTGACTATTCCTTTGCTCAGTTCAGATACCTGCAGAGACTGCTGCTGGTGCATGGCCGGTGGTCTTACATAAGGATGTGCAAGTTCCTACGATACTTCTTTTATAAAAACTTTGCATTTACTTTGGTTCACTTCTGGTACTCCTTCTTCAATGGGTACTCTGCACAGGTAATATAACATCATCATTAATTAATTGATTTGATTTGATTTGCAGTTTTGGTGTTCTCTCTCTTAATAGTTGAGGCATAGATTAATTCAGATTAGAGATTACTTTTCCAAAATATTTCTGATGCTTTAAAAATATTTTATGTTGCCTTTTAAAAGGTGAAATTTGTTCCTGGTCTACTGGCTTTTGTTTATGTGTCTTTGCTCTCACCTTATGTATTTTTTCCAAGTTACCTTGTTATTAAGAATAGCGATAACAAATTGTTCAACTTTGAAAGTATAAAATTATGTGGTGACCACAGCTCAAGGAATTATATAAATTTTGGATGATCATAGATCTATTATCATGTTTCCGTTTACTGGGCCTTTTAAATTTTTATTTTTTGCTGAAATGGACATGGGGGGCATATTTACTATGTTAAAATGGTGATACAGCAGAAAAATATCATTAGTAAAAAATGAACCTAAGTCAGCGCCTGTGGTTGTCCAAACCTCTCTGATGCTCAGAAACAGGGGCCAGGGGCAACTCTGAGCCGGTGAGGCCTTCCTCCTGTCTCCACAGGACTGTATGTAACTGTTAGTGCTGACTGAGCCCTCTTCCTGTATCCTACTCTGAGGACTTGGGTGTGCATAGCCTCGCTTAGCCCTTTCAGAAGCATATTTCTCATATTCAGTCAAATTCTGCTTTACAAAATGTTTAAATGGAAATGCTGGACTTGCTCAAAGTGAAGAAACTTTGAATGGTGCTCCTGAGCTAGTTTTATGTCTTCCAATTCATTATTAAAGGGACATAAAAATGGACAAATCCAGTATTATTCAAATAGAGCAGACTCCTTTTCCAAAAACTTTCTGGAGCATATTCCTCCACTTCCTAGAGGGGGAAATTTAGTTTCATTCTTTGATTCTGCCCATTGCATAGAACCAAATTCATGCCGGCTGCAGGTGTAGCTGAGGGGTGTTTACACTGGCAGGAGAAGCCACCACTCAGCTTGGGGTCGTCCCTGCTTTGAAGAGCAGATGAATGCATATCGACTAGGCTGGTGCTATGTCTTGGTTGCTGACACAGAGACTCTGTAATCTCCTCACAGACGGCGTACGAAGACTGGTTCATCACCCTCTACAACGTGCTGTACTCCAGCCTGCCTGTGCTCCTCATGGGGCTGCTTGACCAGGTAGGAGCCTCGTGCTGACAGGGACACTTCAGGACAGACTGAGCACCTCTTAGAGAAGTTAAAAGCAATTGTTTCAGTTCTTTTGGTTTTGACTTCATTCTGAGTAAACTCTATTATATTTCTGTTGTCAGGCAACAAGAGTAACTGCTGTGCTTCCTATAGTAAAAAGAGAGGACTTTTGGGGCCGGCCCCGTGGCTGAATGGTTAAGTTCGCATGCTCTGTTTCCATGGCCCAGAGTTTCCCTGGTTCGGATCCTGGGCGTGGACATGGCACCGCTCATCAGGCCACACTGAGGTGGCGTCCCACATGCCACAACTAGAAGGACCCACAACTAAAAAATATATATGCACAACTATGTACTGGGGGAGATTTGGGGAGAAAAAGCAGAAAAAAAAAATGATTGGCAACAGTTGTTAGCTCAGGTGCCAATCTTAAAAAAAAAAAAGGACTTTTGTGCCTGGGTTGAATTCATTGACAAAAGAGTTTATTATCCTCCTTTTGGACAAAAACTTTCTTGTCTGACTGTATAGTATGTCTCTATAATAATAACTTACTCATTTTAAAAAAGTAAATTATTTTAACACGTTCCAAAATTTATGTTTAATTCCCAAATTAGTTCACATATTATCTAGTAATAATTCTTAGAGAAAATGCTTTAATGAATAAAAAGAATAATTTGGAATTAACTCCTCAACATGTATGTGAAAATACTTTCCCAAAGAATTAGAAACTATATATTCTCTCAGGAGGTAAAAATAGCCTCCCTATATTTGTTTGACATTACTAATTTGCTTTCTTTCCATAAGTAGCAAAATAATAATACTTCTCCCTAGTCCCACTCTGAATTAAATATCAATTAATGGTGGACTAAAGTAATGTGGTTGATCCCTGCATGCTGAAACTATTCAGGACTTACCAAGCTGAAACTCTTCGTGAGAAATAAGTTGTAGCATCTCTCTGAGTTCTTTCATCCTGATGGATGGTACACAGCTCTGATTGTGTTTTCCCTTCAAGGATGTGAGTGACAAACTGAGCCTTCGATTCCCTGCCTTATATGTTGTGGGACAAAGAGACTTACTGTTCAACTATAAGAGATTCTTCATAAGCTTGCTGCATGGGATTCTAACATCGATGGTCCTCTTCTTCATACCTTTTGGAGCTTATCTGCAAACTGTGGGACAGGATGGAGAGGCGCCTTCAGACTACCAATCTTTTGCTGTCACAATTGCCTCTGCTCTTATAATCACGGTCAATTTCCAGGTATGTGCCTTTCGTCGCCTGTTTTCAGTGTCTGTAGGTACATGTATTTCTGTACACAGACCAGCGTGCACACCCACCTGCCTCCCATTCTCCCTGCAGCTGAGCCTCTGCCACCTTACCAAATACAAATGCTGTTTTCACCCCTTACACCAAGCACATTCCTACTTCTTGCCTGAGCCAAGGATAGTTTCTGATCGTTCAGTATTCAAGCCAAATCATGCCTAGATTATTGAATTCTATTTTCAGAATCCTTAAATCTTTTATTTCTTGCTAAGTCCCCAAAGTGAGTGCTCTGTTCTTCTCTGCTTTCCCAACAGATTGGCTTGGATACTTCTTATTGGACTTTTGTGAACGCTTTTTCAATTTTTGGAAGCATTGCACTTTATTTTGGCATCATGTTTGACTTTCATAGTGCTGGAATACACGTTCTCCTGCCATCCGCATTTACGTTTACAGGTTAGTATTATCTAAATTCCAAAAATAAATGTACCAAAAAATATCATTAGTTTAAATTCTGACATAACTTCTGGGTAAGTCAGAACATACAAGGTATGAATTATTGCTGGTGAAACTTAATGTCCTGACTGGAAATTGAATGGTGGTGGTGGGTTGGAAGGTGGTAATGTGATGGGAGGAAAGAAAATTAAAATAACCTTCACATATAATTGTGCATCTGCTAAGTTAGATAAAAGCTTTTCTTTTCCTCCCATAAAACCTAATATTGACAGGTTATTGGAAAATTGAGAATACATGTATTGCTGGTAGCACTATACCATAGTTTAATTTTTCCAAAACACTATCTGGAAATACATAATGAACAATGAAATCTTTCGTACATTTTGACCCTATTATTTCCACTTGGAGAAAATACCCTAAAATAAAACACACCAAATTTTGGAATGGTAATCTATACAAAGATCATACTACCACAATATTTCTAATTGTTTTTTAAAAAATGGAAATAACCCAAAGACCTAAGAATATCAATTAGCTGATCAAACTATGAATCCCATATAATGGAATTCTAGAACTTAAAAGTAGACTACATCATTGGAAATATGTATGCAGGGCAATTAGTAAACTTATAGAACACAAAATACAGTAATGCACCATAGAACAATATTTTAGTCAATGACGGACCACATATACACAGAGGTGCCATAAGATTAGTACCATATAGCCTAGGTATGTAGTAGGCTCTACCATCTAGGTTTGTGTAAGTACACTGTGATGTTTGCACAACCACGAAATTGCCTAATGATGCATTTCTCAGAACGTATCCCTGTCGTTAAGAGACTCATGACTATAGTTTACACTGTATAAAATATATGACAAATTGACAGATGCTGGGATGAATTCGAACTGATATCATAAATATTATAAATAAGTATCATGAATTGGAGTTTATGAACTTCTTATTTTGAATAGAGTAGTTTGGATTCACAATGGAAAAAAAAATCCCCATAAACTTGTTTCCCTAAAAAAGATTAGGGTTGTTTCTAGGGGTTTTTTTTTTGCTGAGGAAGATTCACCCTGAGCTAACATCTGTGCCAATCTTCCTCTATTTTATATGTGGGATGCCTCCACAGCATGGCTGATGAGTAGAGTAGGTCCACACCTGGATCCCAACCTGCAAAGCCGGGCTGCTGAAGCAGAGTGCGTGGAACTCTAACCATTCAGCCACAGTGCCAGCCCTTCCATAGGTTTTTTAATAATTAGCATTGGATTGTAAAAGCCAGTTGCTTTGGTAACCCTTTTCCTCCTGAGATTGAGCTCATTTTTTTGTGATTATGTTTTTCTTTACTGACTCTGTTTTAAAGACTTAGTGCCCAGCTACTTCAAATATTCCCAAAGGGAGTGTTTTTTAAACCCATACACATTTAGCAGTGTAAAAACTACATTTTAAAGATGCCATTATTTTTATAAACTTAGAGTGTAAGTGCAGAAAATATTGTGACAAATTTGGCTCTAGTTTTAAAATTGAGTAGTATATATGATTACCTGATTGTATTATAGAATGGAATTGTTACTTCCTCTGACATAAAAAAACTAGAAGCTGCATTGCAGTGGAAAAAGCCTGACTCTAGTCAGACAGATGTGGGTTTTAATTCAGGAGATGCCATAACTGTTTCTGTTACTTTGGGCTAATTCCTTTATTTTTCCACAGCTCAATTTCCTTACGTGGTAAAGACAGTTAATACTCATCTCTCAGAACTAAAGATTAAATGGCATGATTTGTATAAAACATCGACTACAAGTCCTGTCACACAAATGGCAGTGCCAGTTGTTAGTATTTGGAGATTCAAACCAGAACAATAAATTGGAAAGTTCTTTTTTTTCAAGTTCCTGAAAAAATTCAGAAGTAATAGAGTACCTAATTTTGCATTTTTAATCAATGCAATGTCAACAAACGCACTTTCTTTTTTCTTTATTTATTTGTTCACATATATACACTTGCCTTGTTCCAAAGAATTTACCTACCTAATTTTGCTTTGCTCAGTCTGATTTTAAAATGTTCATTCCTTGAGCTGTGATGGGCTGTTTTGGGGAGGGCAAATTGCTTGTAAAACTTTACCATAGATAATCCACTGATGGATTATGGAATATGAACTGTGCCCTCAGGATGAAAGGACCACTGTGACTCATTCTCCATGTTTTTTTACAGGCACAGCTTCAAATGCTCTGAGACAGCCGTATATCTGGTTGACCATCATTTTGACCGCTGCAGTGTGCTTACTGCCCGTTGTTGCCATACGTTTCCTGTCAATGACCATTTGGCCATCAGAAAGTGATAAGGTATAGAAAAAAATATAGTCCTCTCCTAACTCTGAGTGCCCCTCACAGAAATCAAAGCATTTCCCAAAAGTAGCTTTCTTGCAAAATTTTAATCTCTTGAAAAGTTTGGTATGAACATTTTTATGACGACTTCTCTTTTAACTTCATTTTGCAAAAAAGTCTTTTGGGCTTGGCATTTTTGTTGGCTTGCTTTTTATTACAAAAATTATCAAACATAAAAAGGGAGAATAGTATAATGACACCCCATATATCTATCCTCTCTATTTAACAATTACAGTATTAACATTTTGCCATACAAATAGGTTGGGTTTTTTTCTTTCTTCATTTAAAGAAAAATGTCACTTCTTGTAGCAGGATCCTTTGAGTTACAAGTAACAGAAAACTGTGGCTCAAAATGGTTCAATAATAATGTATCAACTCACATAATAATTAGCAGGCTTCAGGCTCAGTTGATGAGCAACTTAATGTCATCAAAAAGGACTGGGGTTCTTTCCATGTCATCGTCACCTCCCCTCACCTCCCCCACCCATCTTCATTATTAGCTTCATCTTGAAGCTGGAAGAGGGCTACAGCAGTTCCAGGCATCACATCCTCACATGTCAATATCCAGGGAAGATAAAAGTTTCCTCTATAGCTTTCCCTTAGGAGCCTAGGGACTTTTCACAGAAGGGCCCAGCACACTTCCCTCAGGTCTCATTAGCCAGAATTAGGTCACATGCCTCTTCCTGGCCTAGTACTGAGCAAGGGAAATTAATCAGTCCCATCCCTGGGGGTGGCACCTACATTCCAGGAGGATTGTGGCTGTATGGCGGAGGGGGTACCTGAATAAACTCAGTTTCTATCAGAAAGAAAGAGAGTAAGCAAGCAGCAGCATCTGCTACATCTCCCTTTTCCATTGACGAGACTGTGCAGTAGCAACAGGGAAAGAGTTTTCTCTTAAACTTGTACCGGTCTGATTGATGAATTGGAAAGAGCACTAGCTTTGGTGAATGGGAAGCCTCACTTGCCGTTTTCTAGCTCCAAGACCTTGGAAGTGTCACTGTAACCGCTCTCTGTCTCCATTTCCTCATCAATAAAGGGAGGCCGGTGACGCCCACCTCAATTGAGACGGGGTGGGAAAGCCTGCGGTAGGCACCCCATCAGTGTTAGCGCCTGTCCACGTCCTTTCGGCCAGGCGTCCTCCGCCGGCACAGCCCTTCATTTTCATTCAGCCAGTTCTTTTTAGCTTGCCCCATCTGTCTCCCTTCTGTAGATTCAGAAGCATCGCAAGCGGTTAAAAGCAGAAGAGCAGTGGGAGCGGAGGCAGAACGTGTTCCGCCGGGGTGTGTCCTCGCGGCGCTCGGCCTACGCGTTCTCCCACCAGCGGGGCTACGCCGACCTCATCTCCTCCGGCCGCAGCATCCGCAAGAAGCGCTCTCCCCTGGATGCCATCATAGCCGATGGGACAGCAGAATACAGGCGAACTGTGGAGAGCTGATGCCTTTGCCTCCAAATGGTCTGTCGCGAAAGAATCACACATTTCCAAGAAAGGAAATGTCTATTTTTTTATGGAAAACTCTCAGGACTTTTTTTTTAATTGAATTTGCAAGCTTGTTGAAGACAATAAGCTTTATAACAAACTACTTGGGTTGGACTATTAAGCAATAGCAAAGCCAAGACCACCTTTTATAAAGAGTCCTATTATTCAACTGTTTATGCTCATTATGATTTAAAGGGAACATTTTAACCCAATCTCAATCTAGGACAACATAATTTAAAATGTCATATTTCAGTTCAAATGGTATTTCATTATAAAATTATAATTAGATTTTTCCAGACTCTCCTTTTTTCTTGTAGGCCACCTTATTAACAAAGATCCTTTGCTTACAATGGTAATGACAGAAGATCCGTGCATGTTCGTCAACTTGGAAGCTAAGTGGTCCGATGACTTTTTCAGGGTTGATAATAGGTTGCATGGTTTCACGTTCTCCTCACATCGGTTTAATAATTCAATTAAATCAGGGAAAATTACTTCCAATTGCATTAAGTACGAGGTTTCGGTATGTTTTGGTTTACTACTAGGTTAAAATAGCACATTACATGTGTTTACTCTTACTATCACATATTATCTTAGCCACTTCCTGTAGTACAAGTGAATTTATTGTGTATGTCATGAAAAGATGCATTTAATTATTTATGCCTTTTTTTTAAAAAAAAATAGTTTTTAAAAACTGAGGATATCAGTGATAAATTGCAGAATATTTTGCAAAGCTTTCTTTTGAAAAGCAAACTTTGTGCCTGCCTATATGTAAAAGTATTTTATAAGGGACTGGAACAGAGACCTCACTCTTTTTCGCTTGCCTTATGTCTTGAGAGAAAAGGTTGGTAGCCACATTTCTAAGGCTGAGTAACAGTGTATCCTCTTAAAATTGAAGATAACTTTAGGCAACCATGGAAACTACCCTCAGAGGTAAAACTTATTTTTCCAGAGGGTTTTCTCATTCTCCATCTTTCACACACTAGTTTCAGTATGCTAGTGAAGATACACAAGTGTTTTCAATAATTCTGTTCTTTACCCTTAGGCTGCGAATGTTCACAATATCTGTTCCTTTGAATTCCTATGAGGAAATCACAGCGTGTATATAGTTTGTTTTCTGGGTATGATAAAAGGATGTATGGCTCTTTATTCCATGGTAGTAAATTTCGGAAAGTTTACAACTTTTCTTTATCTTGTAAATAAACAGAATTGTAAGTTTTGGGGGTTGTTTTGTAAAAAGTTAGCTTGTGTAATTCTGTCGGTTTCAGATTTCTCTCCAGTTTTGCAAATTGTGGGAAGGGTCGACAGTGCAAAAGTGTCAAAGACCTACACTGTTGGGTGCAATATTACCAATTTTAAAATGCAAATTGCTTTCGATAAATTATTTCTATATTCTGTAAATCTGAGATTCAATGTATATTTTTGTTTAAAAAATAAATACTTTAGTAAAATCTTTGGAAAGTATAATCTTTTAAAACCTTTTAAGTTGGTTATTTATTTTAGAGTGGGGTATATGACAGAAGAATCTAGGTCTGCAAGGTTTCTAAAGGAACTGAGGGGGCTCCTTTGGTGGCATGAAATAAAGTTGAGGCCGGGTACTAAGTATTAGGGGAGAAGTGGCTGAGACAAGGAGCTCAGACTGCAGAGGAAGAGGGTATGGATTTATAGTTGGTAGATCACTTGTGTCCAGGGAGGGTGCATCTTAGGATAGTTAGATAAGGGACAATTTCTCCAATGACCTCAACTCTATGGAGCCAGAATAACAGTAAAGGTAACCCTTGCCCGAAAGTAGGGGCCAGGAAGTGAGCAGATGGTTGAGAAATACATGGTGAAGAGTTGGGAGGAAATGAGCAAAGGGGAATTAGGATGCTGAAGAGCAGGAGAGCCGGTCCGGAGGAGGTAGGAGACCTGAGCCTTCAGGCTGGGGGAGGCCTGAGTCTGATAAGCTGGCTGCAGGACAGGTTGTCAGCTCCTGGCCAGGAAGGGAAGCTGTGAACCCACTAGAGAAATGTGACTATGCCACAGAGATGGAGGTTCTCTGTCGGAGGACAGAGATGGGGGACTTCTTTGGGAGGGATAATTCACAGCAGGTGATGAGAGAGTATCAGTCTGGGGGTGCTTTTTTTAAGGTATGCTTTTGGTGAGGAGGATTGGCCCTGAGCTAACATCTGTTGCCAATCTTTCTCTCTTTTTTTTTCCTCCCCAAAGCCCCAGTACCTAGTTGTATATCCTGGTTGTAAGTCCTTTTAGTTCTTCTCTGTGGGATGTCGCCACAGCATGGCTTGAAGAGTGGTGTGTAGGTCTGCGCCTGGGATCTGAACCAGTGAACCCCAGGCTGCTGAAGCAGAGCACCCGAACTTAATCACTACACCACTGGGCCTGCCCCCTGGGGGGTGCTTTTTAAGGTGGGAAATCGGTTCCTCCCTCTCTGCTATTCTGCAACTGACAGCCTGCTTCTAGAGCAGAATTCCATGTCTATGTCGGGGCGACCCTGTGGAAGTGGGGTGGGAGGAAATGGGACAGATTACTAGCCTCTGCCATAGAAATGGTGAGAGAGCTCTGAGCAGACCTGGGAGAGTCCCTAAAAACTTAAAGGCCACTTTTCTCCTGGGACACATTACTGTATTAAACTGATTGAGGAATAAATGTTTTTAACCAAAGAGCACCACCTAAAGGTTCTTACTGATGTTCAGCACCAGGCACTGTCTTTTCAGTAACGATATCTGACGGGGATAAAATGGCTCTTAAGAGACTCCAATGTCATAGCAAAACGTACCCTAATGGGATCTAAGTGTATTTCAACAGTTGCTGCCTTCACGTGGTGTGAATGAAGATTAGGACAACTGTAAGACAGCTTCTAAAATTCCTCCCAGAATCTGCTAGAAAGTTATGGCTCCAGTACAACTTTGGGTGCATTTATAAATACAGAAAGGCCTGTCAAAACACTGAAAGGAAAACAAAACATATTTCAGGAAGAAGTTGAGGTTAGGACCCTTAAAAATAAACACTGTAAAAATGATTTTCTTGACTTGAATAGACACTTCTCCAAAGAAGATATATGTGTGTGCGTGTGTGTGTGTGTGTGTGTATATATATATATATGTATGACCAATAAGCATATGAAAACATGCTCAGCATCATTAGTCATTAGGGAAATACAAATCAAAAACCACAATGAGATACCACTTCACACCCACAAGGATGACTATTAAAAAATAATAAAAAGAAACAAATTAACAAGTGTAGGCAAGAATGTATAGAAATTGGAACCCTCATCCATTGCTGGTGGGAATGTAAAAGCCTGCACCCACTGTGGAAAACAGTTGGCAGTTACTCAACAGGTTAAACAATTACCCGATGACCCAGCAATTCTAGGCGTATTTATATTCCCCCAAACACTGAAAACAAGTACTCATAATACTTACACATGAATGTTCATAGCAGCACTATTCACAATAACCAAAACGTAGAAACAACCCAAATGCCCATCAACAGATTATAAACAAAATGTGGTATAAACATACAATGGAATATTATTTACCCATAAAAAAGAATGGGACTGGTTCAAGATGGTGATATAAGAAGATCCTGAACTCACCTCCTCCCACAGACACAATCTACAGCTAGGTATGGAACAATTTCCTCTGAAAAAAACCCCAAAACTAGCTGAGGGACCCCTATACATTGAGTAAAGAAGAAAATACCCACATCAAGGCAGGTGGGAATGGCTGAGACACAATCTCACTGAAAACCCCACCCTCAGTACTCAAAACTCTGAGCTTCTCCATGAGGAGCGACGGGCTTGAAACACACATTGGATACACCAAATTTTTAAGACCTGCACCTGAGAGACAAGCCCTCAAAACATCTAGCTTCGAAGGCCAATGAGGTTTACATCCAGGAGACCCACAAGGCTATAGCAAACTGAGAAACGGCTCGTAAAGAACTTGTGCTCTTGGATTCACCTACACTCGGGCCCAGCACAGAAGCAGCCAACTGCAAGACACCCAGACTTTACGTGAAAGAGGTTTATTTGCTTATCTTAAAGCACCAGCCTTAGGGGCAGGCACCTGGTTTAACACACATCTAGGGGCCAGCAGGGATACCCTCCAAAGACAGAAGCTGGTGGGTGCCATCTTTGCTCTCTCCCTCCACCTTGCGCCACCTAGTAGGTGCCATCTTTCTTTTATTTATACTCTGGGCTCTTTTTAATTTTGTCCTCGTGGGCACCATCTTTGTGCCCTCCCTCTGCCACATTCCAGAGCACCAGCATCTCCCAGAGGGGAGAGTTTATATCTGTTGCCCTGTTTTTGTGTCTGGTGCCCCGGTTTTCTGTGGCTGCTGCCCAGGGAACGCCCCTTGATCACCTGGCTCTGGTGGTTAGTGGGGCTTCGTTCCTGGGTCCCGTGGGACTTTAACAAGTGGAAAGACAGCTCTTGGCCAGCTACCACTCCCAGGGCACAACTGGTTTCCTGTGAAAGAGGCCTATTAGCTTATCTTAACAGCTGCAACCTGATGGGCAGGCTTCTAAGTGAGCACACGTCTAAGTGCCCACTGTCATCCTCTCCAGCGACCTTGGAGGGTGAGCGCTCTCTTTGCACTTTCTCTCTGCAGCGAGCCAGAGCACCAGGATCCTCTGGAGTGGAGCTTATACACGTGTCTGGTCTCAGATTTCACGTCTGGTGCTTTGGTTTTTTGTGGCTGCTGCCTAGGGGATGCCCCTTAATCACCTGGCTCTGGTGGCCAGTAGGGCTTGCATCCCTGGATCCCATGGGGTTGTAACAAATGAGGAGACAGTTCTTGGCAGGCTACCACCCCCAGGGCACAGCACAAACAGCAGACTGAAATACACCGCTAAGTCTTTCTGTGCAAGAGGCCTGTCTGCTTGTTCTGGCACTGTGGCCCGAGGCGTAGGCTTCTGAGTTGACATACATCTAGGGACCTCTTGAGATGCTCTCTAGGGATGGAGGCCAGTGGACACCATTTTTGTGCTCTCCATCTGCCTCGCTCCAGATTGCCAGTATCTCTCAGAAAGGAGCTTGTACAGTCATCTGGCGCCGCAATTTTTGTGACTGCCACCCAGGGGGCACTCCTACTGTGCCCAGCTTTGGCAGCCAGCAGGGCTTACGCTTGTGGTCCTACAGGACTATATATACTTGTATATTTTCTGAGCTGCTGTCTGAGGTTCTGGCTTCCAATCAGCCTGAATCGAGATGCTGACTCAGATCCTCCCCGAGGGGACAATGACAGGTCTGGGCACACCCTCAACTACTGGGAGCCACTAAAAATAAAATAGGCTGCTTGGACAATCACAAAGGTTTGAATGACAACCAAGAGAACGATAAGCTTCATCTCCTACACGAGCCCGGCCACACCCTCCAGACCAGGAGAGGTGGCTACAACTTATACCACAGAAATACAAAGGATCATACCAGACTACTATGAAATGAGACACCATCCATTTGGACAACCCAGAAGAAATGGATAAATTCCTAGGAACATACAACCTACCAAGCCTACATCATGAAGAAATAGAAAATAGGAACAGATCAATTACTAGGAAAGAGATAAATCAGTAATCAAGAGCAAATCAATAAACGAAAAATCAACAATCAACAAAAAAAGTCCAGGACCAGACAGCTTCACTGGTGAATTCCGCCAAACATTTAAAGAAGAATTAATACCAATCCTTCTCAAACTCTTCCAAAACACAGAAGAGGAGGGAACCTTCCAAACTTGTTTTACAAGGCCAGCATTACCCTGATATCAAAACCAGAAAAGGATGTCACAAGAAAGAAAAATAACCAGCCAATATCCCTGATGAACATGTAAAAATCCTCAATAAAATATAGGCAAACAGAGTTCAACAATACATTAAAAGGATCATATACCATCATGAAGTTGGATTTATCCCAGGGAGGCAAGCATGTTTCAACATCCACAAATCAATAAATATAATACAACATATTAACAAAATGAAGGATGAAAAATCATATGATCATCTCAATAGATGCATAAAAAGCGTTTGACAAAATGCAATATTTATGATAAAAATTCTCAACAAAATGGGTGTAAAGGAAATGTACTTCAACATAATAAAGGCCATATATGACAAGCCCACAGCTAACATCATACTCAGTGGTGAAAAGCTGAAAACTTTTACTCTAAGATCAGGAACAACACAAGGATGCCCACTCTTGCTACTATTATTCAACAAAGTATTGAAAGCCCCAGCCAGATCAATCAGGCAAAATAAAATAAAAGGCATCCAAATCAGAAAAGAAGAAGTACAACTGTCACTATTTGCAGATAACATACTATATATAGGAAACCCTAAAGACTCTACCAAAGAACCGTCAAAACTAATAAATTCAGTAAAGTTGCAGGATACAAAATCAGTAGATTAAAGTCTGTTGCATTTCTATAC